CCAAACCCTAAGAAAGCTAGGAAATTTTTTGATATGGAGATAATTAGTACATAAGTTAAGAAATAGCATTTCACCTAAGCACCACTTTAAAGATAACTTCAGGGCTAATAAAGTACATGGTATACAAATTAAATCTCAGTAAAGAGTATAGGGATGAATTCAGATTGGTGTGGATCTGTCTTCTCTGAATCCACAGTGTCTGGGTAGTAAATGTCTGGAAGCATTCTAGCTGTCTCACAAAAATGACTGCTGTCATTTCATATGTATCAGCAGTAAGTGTTGCCAGCCATAACCAGCATTGCTTGCAACTACCAGAAATATCCAAATGAAACTGTAGGGACTTTCAATGCTTTTTTTTTTTGCAAGATAAAGGAAGGGTAGACAAGAAGTTTATATTCACATCCTTCCCTCTGCTTATACTCCAGGGTCTCTGCTTATCTATTGCCCTTTTATTCAATGCAGCTGACACTAGTTATCTCTCCTGTGATTTTTGGTGTTGGATCGTAAGTTGGATGTGTATTACAAATAATTCCCTCAGATAATTTTTTCAAATATAAGGAAAAACAGATTTCCAAAGGAAAAAAATCTGTTCAGTTACAGATGTTATTAAGTGAAACAGACAGTGAGCTCTACTAGAATATGCTGCCTTAGAATTTTTTAAGCATACAAACTAGAGATAATTTGCTGAAGGGTTTCAGTTGTAATTTTAAGTTCTTAAGTGTTTCTACTTTGCACAATTCTTTAATGTAAAGTAAGTGCTCTCTTGGGAAATGAGAAGCCATAATGCATGAAAGCACAAGAGCTTCTGGGTTAAACATCCTTCCTTTCAATGGCAGGTGGAAATATAATTTCATAGAATAACTTCTGTGTCAGCTGAGGAGATTTCAGCCTCTGCTCACCCATCTGGCTGTTCTTCTAAAGACAAAATTACACTGGTAATTTTAAATAGACTTTTTAAGCCAATGAAAGGAATACAGTCGGTGTATGCTTAGTGAGTTTGAAAAGGTAGGCAAATTATAACAGTGGCTCCACAAAGACTATTTTATGTTTCTTACTTTCTTCCTTACCTTTCCATGCCAATCCAGTTGCAAACATGCTTTTGTAAAGACCTAGTTTTAATATATTGATGGCCAAATACGACCAGCATGTTCTGATGGAAATAAAACTGGTACTTTGTTCAGAAGTGTGTTTCCATCTGCAGTCCTGCCCACAGGAGGGCAAATTACTGGACTGTAATGGCATGCTGCCACTACCATCTTTGGAAATGATGACAGTAGCTGTAAAACCCCTCTGCAAACATCAGAAAAAGTTACCTCCACCTTATGATCACATTCCTCCTAAATTCAGAAGCAAGGAGAAGTAGAAAAGCCTTCTTGGAAAGGTATAGATGATTTAGGGGAATGAATATTTATGAAGTATACCACTGGCTCATGGACATGCTTTTTATCAGGCATATCACTGCCACTGTCACCAACATTATCTTTTTCAAAGGAAAGTAGGTAGAGGGAAAGTTATTAAACTGTGAAGTTTGTTATTTTACTTATACACCCAAAAGATAAAAATTTCATTTCCCAGAGAACTGAAGTCTGTAAGTTTTTTTACAAATGGAATACACTAACTAGAAATAAGCTGAATATAAGAATCATCCAACTAATTTCTATAAAGGAGTATTTTATGGAGATTATTAAAAAATAAGATTTTCTGTTTTCAGAAATGGTACAGAGACATTTCAAAAAGTACCCCAATGCTAGGAAATAATTGCCACTGAGAACAGATAAATAAAGCACGGTTTTCATCGTAAAATTCTGGTTCAGTTTGTTGCACATCTAAGTTCTTTCCTCTCCAATATGAACAGATATTGATAAGATCATAAGCATTAACGCTGGTGTGAAAGTTTCGTTGCATTACATACATTGCTCAGATGAGTTGATTAAAGCTGTATTTTCTATAAGCAAGGGTCATTATTTGATTATATAATAATTTAAGGTGTCAGACCTTTCCAGTTTATAATACAGTATATGGCTTCTGCATTTGTGAGATATCACAAACTGAGTCAGACACATGCAGGCATTGCTGCAGAATATGTATTCCATAGAGACACATCCCATAGGCAAGTCAGCCATGCTTTTTTGATGATGAAGTTGTCTTGGCTTCAGTTCAAAACTAGGCAGAAACACCAATTAATGCAGTGCTTTAGATTTGCCAATTTCAATATACTCATTTCCTGCTGTGAGATAGGATTAGGAGTAAAGGCAAGGCGGGCCTAAAACTTAAAGCATGTGAAGAAAAACTTTATTAACAACATAAAGAAATAATAAATTCAGAATAAAACCTTCAGACCATCCCTCCCCCCTCTTCTTCTCGACAACAACATACAGAAACACTTCAGCCAGTTACCAACTTAAATAATCTTTTTCAGTTCACTCTAGGGAGAGGAGTCTTCTCTTGTCAGTCCATAGGGACTTTTCCACAAGAAGGAAAAAACAGTTCCCTTATGGCTTCACTTTCCACAAACTCCTCTCATCTTCACAGCTTTTCCCAAAAGCTGTGGCTTATCGCCATGTTAAACTCATGGGGTATCTACTTTTAATAATGAACTGTTCAAAAAAGCAAAAGTTCTCTTCATCTCTCTTTCTCTCTGTTCATGATTCATCTCCAGGAACAGAGATCCCCTTTTTCCCTCAGGGCAAAGGATTCCCAACACAGATGCTTTTGCTCAATGATCTATCAAATTGAACACTCCAACCCAACCCCCCCATGTCTTTCTTTATAGTTTGTAGGAATTTTTAGTGTAGTACAGTCCATCCCTATAGCTTAGAAAAGAAAGGATTTTCAACCTGAATTCACGGTGTCTCCTCATTCTCCTTCCATCTGGAACTTGGCTCCTGCTTCAGTGACTTTGGTGTATCCTTTCACTCAAGGGAGGGTTGAAGGTCTGCAAGTCTTATCTGAGCGTTGGAAGGATTAAACTCTCCCATAGATGATGCAGAGGATGTGCCAGGATCTCGGGAGACTCGGGCCCCATTGGAAAGGGTGGGATGGATGGCTGGGGCCTCACTCAGCCTCCCTGGGCTCAGTTGCAGCACCCAGTGCCCATGGCCACCCCTCTCCCTGCCGGGCCATGCCAGCTCCCCACACAGGGGCCCCGGCCCTGCCCTGTGCCAGGCCCACAGGCCTGCAGTGGAGCCAGGCTGGCCCTGTTACCTGCATGGCTGCCAGAAGAGAAGAGGGCCCTTCCCAGGATTTGATTGCTTTAAAAATGTGAATATATGGAGGCAGACTAAACTCTCCAATTGGTTTCTCAGGCTGTCAACCACCAACCTAGCCTCCAATTGGTCCCATCAACTCACAGAGAAAATTCTCAAGGAGAAAACCTCCATGTATGCCCTCCTCCAGGTGCCAGTCAATGCAAAACCAGCACAGAAGTCCTTCCTGATCCTGTAGGAATCATCCATCAACATCCACTGTTGTTCTTTTTTTTTTTTTTTTCCTGAAAGGAATGGTTGCCAACACCTTCCACTTGTAGGTTATTATGATCATCTGAAGAGGTGAAATAGTACTCAGTGTATTGAAGTTCAGGGTCACATTAAAGTCTTGGGGTTTTTTATCACATTCTAAAGCAATATATTCAGATTAATATAACACAACTACCACTACATTCAGTGAAGAAAGTGGCATGAGCTGGTATGAAGTGGTATTGTAGTTTCTTATCTACTACTTTTTGTATGTTCTTGCAGTCAGTCCTAAATGTTTTAGAAAATCAAAACTGAGTGCCTCAACACATTTGTGTTTCTGAATGATGAATAAGAAATCAGAGGGTAATTCCTTTTAGCATACAGAAGACTCCAAAGACAGACCTCTCTGATTCTGGGAGTTCAGAATCTCAGTTTTGGCATTGTTTTAATTACTTCTCTGTCTCCTTATCAGGGAAGTTTCTATATCTCTCACCATCTGCCCCTCTGATTTCTTAAGCCCTTGAGAAGGAGTAAATTTGACCAAAGCTTAATATTTAAAAAAATAAGAAGTGAGGGAACAAGATTTTCTCCCCCAGTGATTGAATGGAAATTAATCAAAGACTAAGAAAGTGGAGTTTTAGATTTGTGTATACTATTAAGAAATATTCTGTTCAGTTTCCTCATTTCTGTTACATCCATAAGGTATACGTTGTTGATTGTCCTATACTAAGACAGTCAGCAATAAAAGTTTGTTGAAATAGATTATCTGTGAATTTACTTCTAGTTTTAATTTAATGGTCATGTTGATGATCTGTAGCTCAAAGGGTTTCTAAGAAATAAGGATTCTTTAGGATCTTTTTTTATTAGGGACGTATCATCTTCCTTGAAAGTTAATTTCTTTCCTGTAAGTATCTTTTGGCCAAGTTCCATCCAGAGGTTTCTTTTTATATTTTCTGTTGATTTTTAATTGTCTTCATTTTTACATTCTTTGACAAAGCAAAGCTCTAACAGAAGGACTCCAAGTCCCTCTGTGAGTAGATACAGAGAGGGAGTGTGTGTACAGAATGGTCTTAGGAATTGCAAAACCCAGGTTCTGCTTGAATTATCATTGGTTGCACTGTGCCTATATATAGTCTATTGTTAAAGCAACAGCACCTATTCTTTGTCCTTTTTTACTAATCCAAGAGTCTGCACTGTAATAAATATTCCATATCCAGGTACCTTACCTTATAAAGGCGTGAGTACTCTGTATTTGTCTTGCAAGAATACTTGTTTTCTTTAAAAGCTTTAGAAACCAGAATCTGAAAAGGCTTTTATTCCAAAATATTCCAAAAATCCATAGAAAGAAAGAAGGTTATGTTATTGTGCTGTATTATGAGATATGAATAAATTGAACAGCATTTAAATTACTCTCTTCTTAGGAGTTCTCCTGCATTGTGTTCTTTTAGGTCCAGTGTGATTGCTGTAAAGGTGGCATTATGTTTTAAGCGATATATGATGCTCTAGAAAAGTAATGGGCTGTTTCTCTCCTACTCTTTTGAGCAGTTTTGGTATGAATCACGATGGAATTGGAAATTCCTGTGGGACCAAAGGTCATGAAGCAGCAAAGCTAATGGCAGCTCATATTACAGCAAACACCAATCCTTTCTCCTGGTCAGCTTGCAGTCGGGATTACATCACCAGCTTTTTAGAGTAAGTAATCTCTCAAGAAAAATGAGTTTTCAAAAAATTGACACCTTTTAGGATCAATTGCAGAGATACAGTGACCTGTTCTGATGGTTTGCATTTTTATAATGAATAGATAGAAGTATAGTGAGTCATTTAAAACTCTTTTTTCTGTAGAGCATTATTTCAATGTAATGGCAAAAGCTTCTTTTGCTCCATTCACCACCTTAACAGTTCTCTATTGTTTTTAATCTGCTTAAAAGATTCTGAAGTGTTGATCATATCTCATTACTTAATCTGAGAGTGGGAAATAAAGGAGGGCAGATTTTGTCTATGGAACATGTTTTGTAAGCATACATAATTTGAGGGAATCTAATGAAGGGAAGATGATTATAGCCCTGTTCCTTTTGCATTTCCTTCTTCAGATGTTTTTCATGCAGTTTTGTGGGTTTTTACCTATCAATGTTCTTTGGTACCATTGGTGAGAATATAAAGATTATAGAAAGGGATGGCATAGATCTTTATATTAATACCTTAAAATTCTGATAAGCTCTACTTCTGTGGTGATTTTTATCCAGAAGTAGTTTGCTACCTGAAATTCCACTGTGAAAAAATTAAGTCAAAATATGTTATTCACAAAAATGTACTCATATCAATATATACATTGGTATAGATAATTCACAATTAAGCCTTATATGTGTTCTAAGTTTAGAGGACAAGTATATATAACCATGAGTTCACTGAGAATAGATTCTTAACAGATTTGTTTAGATGCTGAAAGATGGGCTTTATTGGAGGCAAATAACAGTTATTTGGCAGGTTCAGTGTCATCAGTACAATCATTCCCTTTAAGAAATACAGATTGTTCAGTAATTCAGAAACTTACTATATTTTAAGAGAGGGACTTAATTGTCTGATCATGAGGCCACTAAGAACAAAATTAGCATCTCCTTTTCTTTTAGGGATTTAAGTTCAGAATAAGATGCTGCCTTCTGTATCTTTTCTGAAGGGACTCATGTAGACCAAAACCTTTAGGTAACTTCCCACATGATGCAGAGAATCACTGACTTGGGCTGCCAAGGTGCTTGAGCTTCTGTGGAGTCAGTGGGCAGAGACAGAAATTTAATGTTGGTGCTATTCAGAGGAAGAAAACTTCTCATTATTTACTGTAATAGGTTTAAGGCATTTTGTATTACACCTCTGAACTGTGCACCCACACAGTTTAATGTACTAGTGTATTTAAGATGAATGTCTAAACTAAAGCAGTAAATGAATAAATCATGCTTACCATAAATATATATATGTGATACAAGTTTCTCAAAATATAATTTTGTTTGCTAAGGGGATATATATGTATATATGTACACATAAATATTTATTTAACATTAGCATTGTTTCAAAAAATATAATTATACATAGTTATTTTGTTTTATATTTACCAATTACTTACGTTAATTCAATGCTGTTCCTATAAGTAGTCTTTCTAGTATGTCATTGCAGCCTGGTTTTTAACTATGAAAAAGAATATGGTTTTCTTATCTCTTCTAAGATTATTTCACATCTTTGTAGTTCTGACTGGCTTACCGTTCACGTATTTCCTTGTAGTATTTAGGAGCTTGTTCTCTTTGTTACACTTCTGCTGTTCTCTGTCTTATTTACTTCTATTTGTTGCTCTTCTCTGAAAAACTCCATTTTGATCCCTTAATTGTCTGGACAATAAATAGTCTGTTGATGAGGACATAATTCAACATGAAGTGAAGAAGTTATTTCTGATTTATGGATTTAGGGAAAGAAACATGATAAAATTCAGTGGCTTGTGTTATTTTGCAAATATAATAAAGCTGGACATTTGTTCATAATGCTCCTGCACAGTTTCAATAGCATGAAGTATGCAGTGTTCTTTCAAATTTTTATTACCAGTTAAAAACAGTTTTATCCTGAGCCTTTTTACATTGCTTTTTTATTGATTTAGTTTATTATTAGCTGTTAGCATCTCTATTATTCTTTTCCATTGCATTATTATTCTTTTCCATTGCATATGCTTGATTTATGGTTAAGTTTAATTTTGAAGTCTGTGGGATGGCAGTGAAACTGCAGTTATGTTAACATAAAGCCAGAAGCACTCTGTTGAATCTGTTTCCATAGTTCTAAACTCCTCAGGTTTTTCAAGATACTTGTCTATCATTGCCAGTGTTTGCAACTCTACTCAAATTACTACCATCTATGAATTTCACAAAAAAATAATTACTGAAGATACTAAGTGATATTTGAAATAGAGAAAAACATAAATCAATGCATAGCAGATTCAATGATAAATTATTTTTTATAATACTTCAGCTGTATTTTTGTAACCGTGAATGGAGATGTTATTTTTTTTCGAAGCTGCCTTGGACACACATTATGTTCCACATCACAATTTTTTGCAGGTTTTCCAGTTGTATAGAATACGGTGTTAAATACTGTACTAGGAGTCAAATATAACTTTTCTTTCATCTACTAATCCTGAAATCTTTTTACAAAATTTTGAGATTTCTCAAACATGATCTGTTCATTATAAATCTATGTTTCTTATTGTCTGTGGATCTAATATCCTATAAGTGAAATGATAGTTTTTTTCCTTAAAATATTTGATTTGTTATTTCATAAGATAGAGTAGCTGTAAAACTGTACTTTATTTCTCCAGTTTCTGGTTTCCTCACCAGTTTTTATGACATCTCAATGACAACAGGCAGCTGTTAGAGAAAGACAAATACCTACAGGACAACTGTCAGAATCCAAAATCACTTTTTACCCATTCACACCTTTTCTTAAGACAGAACAGCTCTAAAAGCAGGTATATTTCAGTTGCAGGTAGTAAACAGTTAACAAGAAGCAAAATTAAAATTAGCAAGTTTCATGTGGCAACATACCTACAACTGCTTTTAGAAGAGCAGAAGAGTCTGCATCCTGACAGGAAAAGTGATTATTTTTTTTAATTATATTTCTTCATGACATAGTAACAGGTAAGAAAAACACGGATTTAGAGCTTTAGAGGCCAAGCTGGTTTGGAATTAATTTAGCTGTGTGTAACAAGACAGGTAGGACATGAGGGTATTAAGTGCAGACAACCGAAGCAGAAACCTGGTCTGTGAGACCTTTTAGATTTGTATCTTTGGACCTTTGCACGTGTTTGGGCCAAGCTGTCATGGTACCACTTTAATGCAACTGGCGTGAATTTTGATAGAATTTCATGACATGTTCACAGTATTTTATGGTAAGGAAGATTAGTAGTTAAACAGCTCAGGTCACCTCTTGCTACAGCAGTTTTGCACTGAGGAGTAACCTGAAGTATCACCTGGAGGGTATCAGTTCAATCAGGCAGTAGCTGGGAAAGCAAATTATTTTGCAGGAGTGCTGGAAAGAAGATGGAAAGAGGATGAATATTGGCTCAAAGGATGGCAATAAGACAAAGCAAAGCTGTGTAATGCTAATAGGTCTACCAAAATAGGTCTCAGCAAGGATGATCAAACAGCGCAGATAATGCAATGGCCAAAGGAAATATTTTTTTTCTGGAGAAAACATTCCTTGAAGCACAAAATAGCTGTTGTCTGCCAAGTTGATAATAACTGTTGTCTATTAAGCTTTTAGGTAGAGTGAAAGATGGACATAATTCAGTTTATCAACTGAATTGTTCATAAGTGCTTTGCAATGGCTTTAATTTCATTAACATTATATGGAACTAATTACAGTAATATGACTGAGAATTGAAGGCTTGGAGGGCAGTCTCAGGGGATACAGATTTCTGTGAGATGAGTAGAAACCTGTAATATCTGTTCATAGGAGAAAAGAACCAAGCCTAAAATTTTAGTGACTGAGAAACAATCAGTATGAATTTCATTCCATACAACATGTGTGTGTATATATACAAATTCTATGTTTTGTTATAAAGAAATCTGGCTGATTTCTGGAATCATAGGTTATTTTTCTTGTCAGTAACAGGAGAGGAGTTAAAAGAAGCAAAATGGCCAGATCTGCCTTTCAAAGGCAGTATTGTATTTTGAAGATGGAGGACAACCAAGAATGTTAAATTATGTCAGTAAGATCTATCTCAGAAAATTCTTGAAGACACTCTATGATTGCCATACAGCACGATTTAGATCTTAGACTACAACTTTCTAACCCTGGAAGGGAGCCTATCTATTTTGGTCCAAGCAAGCCCATGCAGACAATATAGGAAAAAAAGTCATTCAGTGTTCTGGTCCAGATATCATCTTAAATATACAAGTGGATGTGCAAGGTAAATATAGGATACATCTATATGTGTGCCTCATATATTGTCTCTGGCACTCTGGCCAGGTTCCCTCATGCTCCAGAAATGTAAAGTAACTTCTGAAAAAAAATATAAACCAAGACTAGTTTGGAAAGATAAGACCACATCAATCATATCAAAATTTAATATCTCATTTTACAAATCAGTGGAGAAAATTTGCATTCAGTATTATGTATTGACCTTCACTTTGGATTTAATTTGCTTCTTTTCTTTAAATTATACTAGGATTTAAAATTTTTTTGGTAACATGTAATTAAAAAAAAGTGCCCTCATTTGCTATAGATTTCTGAAACTTTGAAAGATTTCTGTTTTACTTAAAAGGCTACTTAGTTGAAAAAAAGACCTAAAAGTTTCTGTAATTATGGGATGGCAATATGGCTTGAGTGTTGACTTTACAAGTATTACTCTTTGTCTACCTTGTGATTTATTTAAATATAATGAAATTGTAAAAGGGCAGAATCAGCAACATATTTCCATTAACTTTTTTGTAGAATATCTGATGAAATAAATGATTGGTCCAGTATTTTATACATTAGTATCTCCTGAACTCTTAAAACTAGATTTTGTTATGATGATGGTTTTGATAGATGAACCAAATGATTTTTTTTAGTATGGCTGCTGGATAATTATTCCAATGAATAAAATAAGACTTTGGAACACAGGAAAGTGTGGGGGATAGTATGCATTAAAGAAACAGCAAATTACTCCAAGCAAAAGGAAAAAAGTGTGATAAAAGTACTGTGCAAAATTATAGAATATTTTGTATGAAATAGATATTAAGACAGGCACAACCTTGGCATAAAAGAACGGAAAGTAGATTATATCAGGAGAGTGAATGGCAAATCTGAATTTCCCTTACTTTCAAGCTAGTATTTATGTAGTAATTGCATTTTGCTTTATTTTAATTTTAAGCACACCAAATCCAAAGCACAGTTCTGTTACTTATGTCCAGATTCTAAAAATATTTATGCTTAGGTCTGTAGACTACTGAGCAATGTCAAGTAAACTACCCATTAATGTCAAGTAAAGCAACTTCTGTAACTTTGTCTATAGAACTATAACCTGGTGCTTTTAAAAAGTCAGTTTTTACTTATAAATATAAAGTAAGGATTCTGTTAGGAGCCAGATATATTGGCATGCAAATAATTAATGATATGTATATGTAAAAATGCTCTGTATTTTTAGTTAATAATTTTTACAATTGCTTTTTTTCGTCTTTTATGGCTAATTTTATATCAGTTAAATAAAACATTATGTATCTATCAATGTATTTATGTATATGATTGTTTAGCTATAACAGATATTCACAAATATTTATAATACATTTAATTTGTGATTATTAAGTGTAGCTTGCATTATAGTCCACATCATTGTTATGAATGAGGCCACTGTGTGATATTCAAAACCAATTTTCAGAGCCAGCATTCTGGGATATTTTCTTCAGCCATTGAGGGAGTTGGATTATACAGTGTAAGTAGGGAAATTAGGGAATAGATACTGTAATAGGAACGCAAACCCCGAGAGATCTTACATTTGTTGTTTTTGCTTTTTCACTTTATTGGTCTTGGATACAACCGTGATATCTGTGCTGGGGTGGTGATCCTGAGTTTTGTGTTGTTCAGTCTATAAAGATTTAGAAACATTTAATCCCTGGTTGGTGTTAATTTGGTTGAGCAGTTAGCAGTGATAGCAGTCTGAAATCTTAAACTTTCCTAGCATGTTCTAGTGTCTTTGTTATCCTTTCAAAGAGAAGAATAATCTTCTGTCCTGTGATATTAAAATACAAAAAAATGTTTAAATTATATTGTAAAGTGTTTTAAAATTATTTTTGGAGACACTACACTGGAATACTAGTCTGAAATGACATCAAGCTCAGCTATTTTATAATTGAAACAAGTCCCAGTATGTCCCATAAAACGTAACAAAATTGACCTAAAGTTAGGAAAATGAGAAAATCTTTGAGTACTAGTAGTACCTTGTAGAGTAATATAATGTAATGGTCAGTTCGAGATCGTCTTATTTCTGTTGCAGACATTAAAGATTTATCTACTCCATGTTCAAAAATGCAAGTGCTCTGCAGGGATATCTTGTAGATTTTTTGACTTAGTGTACATACTTCCTATATAAGATAAAATCACAAAGCACAGAAACAATTATGAGTAGGAATTTTCTAAAATTGTGGATTTGAAGGTATTTGGGGCATTCTCTACTATCCTCTTTTACATCTAGACTTTTATATGCCTGACTGATAATAACTATTAGATCTCTGTTTAAAAAGTTCTCCAAAACCATTAATCTTGGACCCTTTTGGTTCATTCCTCTAGATTTAGCATACATTTTTTTCTCAAGTATCTGGGTTTTGCTCTGATGGAAGAAAGAGAGAACGGGGACATGCACACAAGAGTATTGGACCATTCCCAAGTCCTGTAAAAGTTTTCTGGAAAGGTTAAATGGTCCTCAGCCTGTATTCATCCTTTGTACAGCTTTGGTCAGACCTTTCATTACCAATGGAAAGTCTCTGGTTTTATTAATGTGTTTATAAAGATCATGCCATTTCTTTTCCAGGATACTTCAGTTCCCGCAATACAGTATCAGGGGTCGGTTTTGCTCAACTGCTTGAGATAAATAATAGAACAGAAGCAGAAGGGAAGACACAAATAAATTTTCAGTCTAGAGACTGTGGTATAATGTAGCTAGTAAGAGAATGACTTCTCAATAGTAATTTTTTCACTTAATTGCTACAACAATATTTTATTATGGTGCAAATCTGGTAATTAGAGCAGAAGAGTAATTTTTTTTTGTATTCAGTACAAAGATTTATGACTTGCTTTTCTGCCATTCTATGTCTTGTAGAGTAGGTATAGATTTTAATTTAGCAAATTTAAAGTATTAGAACAAGTTCTGTAATTTAATTTGGGCAGGGGTACATACGCCTGTGGAGAGAAGTCACTGAAGATAATGAGATTTTTTAAATGCTGTGTCCTTGGCTGGCTGTTTACAAGATCACAGTTTACAGTCATCTTGTAAACTCTGCAATATTGGAATCTATGGAAATGTTCCCATCATACGGCAATACTAGCTCAAGCTGGCGCCAAATGCTAAACTTCTCAGTGCTTGTTTAAGGAAAGACTCTATCTGCAGTTTAGTCCAGACATTGCAGAAAAATCAGCTTGTATGTCAGTTCTTTTAATACTGGAATTATTAACATGCTCTCCTCATACACGCAAAATACAGCACTGAAATATTTGAAAAGATTGAAGGATATTTTCCCAACCTCTGCTGCTAGAAAATATATATACTTGCAGTAATTACATGAGATAGAGGGGAAAGTACACCATTTTTTAATGCCACAACCACACTGTTGATATTTTAAAAGTAGATTTCAGCTGAGTGGATGCATGGCTGTGATATATATGCATACATGCAGGTGAATCACACCAAATTCCTTGGAATTTGTCATCAAATACCGTATTTTTTTCAGTATTTACCTGGTTCTTGTATTAGTTGCTATTTGCTACCTTCTGAAGTGGTTGTCAGAGGTTTGTTTCTTCATTTTTCCGAAGGATCTTTTGTAGTATTTTGAAGACTTGATCAAAAGAGGGTTAAAATGAGAACATAAAATGTGTAGTTAAAGGACACTTTTTGCTCTTTTTTTATCTGCAGATAAAAAGTATAGAAAATTGGAGATCTCCAAAAAACAGTGTAGAACATTCACTTCTGAAATTACGTTCCTTTGGCAAGGTGCATGGAAAAGATTTGGAAAAAAACAGAACATAAGTGCTGGCAAAATTGGTAGGAATGTCGGAAAAAAATTTTAAGTGTTGCCATAAGAATTCTTTGAAAATCCTCACTTATTCACATGTGAAATGAAAGTAAAAAAGCATCTGTCCTCTTTTATGCACACTGACCCAATAAAACTGAATAATTGTATTTAGCAAAATACAAATTTTTCTAAACACAACTCAGTCTGGTTTTGGCTTTCTGTGTTATTTATTCCAATACACTAAAATATTGTGGTTGAATATGGGCATATTTTGGAAAAAGACCATCAACCACTGAACAAAACAGGGAATATAAAAAGAAGAAAATATTGAAGTTTGCAAAGATGATTCTTTTGGTTCCAACATGAATTTTTTAGGACTGAATAGTAATCCAATAAAAAATATCTTGGACCCATAAAAATTTTTTCACTCACTCTAGTATAGGTAAATTTGAAGTTCCTGCAGAATTTTTGCCTCTGTAACCATTTTCTTCACTCAAATGGAAGAAAAGCTTGCATGTTAAAGTCCTGATCCTATAAACATTTTGTCATGTTGAAACTTGAATATGTTTTACTTTTACATAAACCAGTTGAGCTGCTCCTATCTATAAGATTATACTTAGCTGTTTGAAGGATCAGAAGGGTCATTTCAAATTGTAAACTGAATTTTTTGGATTTGCTTAATTTGTTTATTTTTCATTCTATGACTAAATGTAGCTGCTCTTCAGTGAAAACAAATAGGAATCCTAAACCAAAAATGAAAATCAGTCTTGTGTGGCTCAGAAATTATCACACTTTTTAAAAGGATAATATGTAAAAATTATTTCACCATCTAAAATAAGCATTTTTAAAAGAATAATAATGAAAAATTATTTTTATTTCCTAATTACCTCTAAATATTTTCTCTTGTTAATATGGGTGTACCTTCTTACTGTCTGTTTATTGCAATCATATTTGTTTCACACCCAGCACTGTTAAAAGTAAGAACATAATATCATTACTGTGATTTACAGTCAGTAGAATTCCTAATTGATTTGGTCCTTTATGTTGAACAGTTCGGGCCGTGGTACTTGCCTTGATAATGAGCCTCCCAAGCGTGACTTTCTTTATCCAGCTGTGGCCCCAGGTCAGGTGTATGATGCTGATGAACAGTGTCGCTTCCAGTATGGAGCAACATCCCGCCAATGTAAATATGGGGTAAGAAGTCTTAATCCTTATGCTGAGTGTTCTGCTTAGTCATTTGTATATATTCCTTTGTAGCATAAATCTTTAGTTAGTTGTAGTAGTGGGTTACGGATTTCCAATAGTATGTCCAGTGCCATCATTTGTAAGCAAAGGGTTAATTTTAATCCTTATGCTGCAACTTTTGCTTGAACCCTTTGTGTGTGCTGTACACTAAATGTGGGTAACGATGAGCCGGGTAAACTGTTCTTTAATTGTAGGGAAAAAAGAGCCCAGAACACTCGAGCCCGATCCTTGTAAAGCATAATAGAGAATTTTCCCTGATTTCAGTTAGTTGAGATCAGGTTCATGTTGAATTGATCTTGAAACATGAAGTCTGTTTGTTGGCTATAACCTTTCAATATAAAACTACATTTTGAAGTTTCTTTTGTACTTGTATTGATTTATCAGATCTGATTTTATTTTCTTGTTTGTTTGTTTGTTTGTTTTTCCCCTGGCATTGAGTCTGTTGCATCTCACATTATTCAGATATCTATTTTGAGAGATGACTTATGGTTCTGGGAACAGATGCACACGAAGCTGGATAGAATATTGAGCAGCAAAGTACTAGCAAATATTTGGCTGCAAGTACCAGTGTGCAATAATTAAAGTAAATAAATTTACAGTAGAAATAAAAACCTTCACATGTAGGTCATTGTGTTACAAATATTTACTTAAAATCTTCTAGCCAAAAGTATGCAGTTAAAGGATGCATTCTGCTATGCTTGTTATGAAATAATCAGCTGAGACCACACTAAGTAGACATTGAGAACATATCTTGTGGTTTAAAAGTAAATAGTTTTAAACATTTTTCATTTTTAGATGTAATAATTTTAAACTTTTAGGTTATTCAGATAAAATAATGAAGTAAACCAAGAAATTCCGTTTTTAATATCTCTGGGGTGATAAATACAGTATTATTCTTGGGATGTCTCTTTGGCAGATTGCATTTTGGAAAGGATCTAAGAGATGTATAGCTGGCTAACTAGCTCTGAGTCTTCTAATTCCTCATCAAGTCGCTTTTGGCCTTTATTGTTCCTCTTCAGGTTCTCACTTCACTCTTTTTAATGGTCCCATTTCTTGTCTCTTCACCTAAGTCATACCATTTTTTATTTTTCTTTTTATCTTGCAAATTTTCACCACAATCTTTTATTTGCAGACTAGGGAAATACGCAGGTATTTAATCTGTGATTTATAACACAGTCTTTGGAGACATATTGCATTTCAAATTAAACTGGAAAGTTCATAATGTGCAAAACCTGGGTTTTCCACATATATGTAAGTTTTTTAAAACACTGTTAAACTGTGTAACCATTGTTGTGATGATCGTGCTGCACAGTATATTTTCTTTCTTACACCGGTTTCTAAACCAGAAGTAATTGGAAGTAATGAAGATATGCAGGTTATCTTTGCTTTTTGCCTTCTGCTTTCTTTTTTTTAAAGGTTTTTTTGAGATTGCCTCAATTAAGTGTCAACATCTTTTCAGTAACTCTAAGACAATGCCTTCGTGAAGTGAAGCTATGTCTTTATTATCACACCTCTGAATTGGTATAGGGTGAGGTGTTCCATCAATGTTCCATCAATGTGAACATAACTTCCAAGTGTCTCAGAAAATAACCACCCTGTATTTCATAGGATTCAAACTACATATATTAATAAATAAGCTATTGTTGAAATCTAGTAATATCCATTCTAAAAAAATATGCATTTAAAATAGTATATACATTTTAAAATATTATCTGCCATATCCCTAGTGCACTGCAAATGTGGCCATGATGATCATTATCTTAGAGATTTGAGGTGATAATTTTGAAGCAGGGGGGAAACAGCCTTTGGGAATTTGTAGTGCAGATGATAATAACCTACTTTAAATAAAGATTTATTTATATATGAAAGGGTTTCAGGACTGAAGAGTGAAACTAGATCTAAATCCCAGGACAAGCTAAATCAAATACTCTGCTCAACTCTCTTATTATCAAAAGTAAACAGTCAGTGCTTTGGATATTTCTTTTCAATGTACTATTCAAAGAAGAAGGTGTTAATAGTTCATGGATCTCTTTCGAACAGACATATGTGCAACTATGATGGAAAACATAGCGAAAACTACCCGATAACAGTGAAAGTAGTTAATATACTAGCTTCTTTCAAGCATTTCTTTTAGCCCTTTTTATTTGAAGCATCTAGTAAGAAAATGTGTAGAGCAGGTTTTCAAACAGGTAGTTTTGTGACCCAAAAGGAAATAAATTCCAAGTCTCAGAGAAAATTGCTTGCATTTTTCTCCTGCTCATGTTCTTTACTGATTTTTAGTGCCAAGCCATGACAAGAGAACCAGTTGAACTCTCAAATCAAAATACATGCAGGCAGAAAATCTGCTGTGGCCTGTGATGAACCTGCTGATATAACTGATGTTTTTAAAATAAATTGGAAAATCTTCACATTCTTTCTGCTTAGGAATTCTGCCATAATCTTCTAACCTTTAGAAAAAGTACCTCTTTCAACCATGTTGCTTTAATGTTAATCTATGTTTCCGGCCTTTTCTCCCTTATTTACTCATCTGCTCCCTCTGGATGTTAAGTTAAACTGTTGCTTTAGATCATAGATCCTGTCCTAGTTCTGCATTTTTCACAGTTAAAGTTGGAGTTGTTCTTTGGAACGTGAAGTTAAATATATGGAGAGGTGTTTGACCAAGTAAAGCATCAGAACTCAATTACTAAAGGGACTTAAAGTTTCTGCTTCTGTGTGTGTTTGTTTACTGATGAGGGGACAATCTGACATAAAAAATGAGCTTTTCAGAAGTTTTGATTTAGTTTTGAGCAGTACTTGGAATTAAACTGTTTAGTTACATTCAGTCAGAGCTCTTGTAGCAAAAGTGTTGCAGCTATTGGTCAGATTTCTCTGTGTTGTTTAGCACATTGAGACAGGATGATACCTTAGTTATTTGAGCTGAAAAAATAAAACTATTTTATCAAGGTGACAGTGATCCTTGTAGTGTTACATGTGCATTGTTCTTTATACTATACTATGCTATACTATATACTGTACTATATTGTACTATACTATATACTGTACTATGCTAGTCTATATACTATAGCATATCCCTTCTGATACAGGGAAAATTTTGCAGAATTTAGATGAAGAAATGCATATTTTGAATAAAAAGCGAAAGGCAATGTCTCAAGCTATTTAAAATTGAATTTTAAATATTTTCATATTTCGTATTTTTAATATTTCATCTTTAGGGTATACTTTCATACAAGAGAACGTTAAATTTATGACTTACAGCACACCAAATTCTAATGGTGGAAATTGTAGGACGTATCTTATTGGATTCACTGCAGTGGAAGATTTAAAAGTTGTTAGAAACAGTTGTAGTTCCTCTTCAGTTTTGTAACTGCTGGATATCCTACATCTTCTAAGACGGTGCAGTGTGGATTTCCTTCTACTAATTGTCAGATGTATCTCAATTCTCTGCTCTTTTGGTGTTTTAGTTCCACTGGTAGTTCAGAACCTCTTTTAGTCTTTTGGTTTAGGTGATTTTGAAAGGCGAACTTTTTTATTGACTTCTGATCTCCTTATTCTTTGAGCATATGCCTAGTAACAGTTGGCTCTTGGCTGTCTCTGGGTTAAGTCAAGAAAGAATTGCAGTCTTGACTTTAATTTCTCTGTTTTATGAGTTTAAATAATACCTGGAAAATGCCTGAATGTAACTTAGTGATTTTGTGGCTCAAAATAACGCTTTAGAGCTGGTCCCTACATTTTTAGGACAGAGGCTAAAACCTCAGACATTTTAAAAACAGTTAATACTTTATGCATATGGTTGGTATTGCTGTATTGCATTTTACGATCTGTGAAGCTGCTGGCTGCTAGCAGCAGGGTTTCACAGATAGTAGCTTACAATTATTTGGTATATTTTTTTTTTGCATTTTACGCTTTTCCACCAGCATTGGTTAGCTGGCTTTAAAATCCAGGAGAGTAAACAAGTTTCTATATATGTATAGTTCTACAATATTTCCACCAGGGCAAGAAGCCTGAATTGCAATTGACCCTTGTAATTTGGTGATGCAAATTTTAACGTTCATTAATTAAACTGTCACTTTTCTCATGAAGTATGGATGTGGTTTACTCCAGTTAAATGAAGAGCAGTAGTATTAAGCTTGATGCAGGGGTTTTATAGGAAGGTAGAAGCAGAAGCAGAAGCAAATTCTGGAAGCTAGTAGTCTTCCACAAGGAAAGGCAGAGAAGCCACTGTTGTATCTTTCACCAAAGCTACTGTTTTCCTTTTGTTCCCTCACTGTTGATACTATGCCTAGGATCATGCACTTAGTTGAATTTGGGCATAATAATAGCTTACTGTAAAGTGCCTTTTTGACCCCAAATTCGTGTATTACACCATAACTAAGTTGCTTTATACTTGTTTTTTTAGCTGAGCATATCTAGTTTTATCAGATGGATTTATATTGCATTGCTCACAAAGTGGTGTTAGAAGTATGTGTAAGCAAAAAGAGGAATTGAAGATACTGATATCATACTCTGTCATTTTTATAATTTATTTTTTTTTAGTTTTGCTTCCTAGTCAGTTGAAAGAATTCTCATTGCTATTGTGCAGGCCATTGGCATTACAAATTATTGGAGTTTCAAGCTTTTCTTGTATAAGGACTTACAGGATTGTGTTGTAATTAAATGAATTTTGTTCCCCCTTTTTTCTAAGTTTATGATGTGTATAGCCAAGGGAAGTCTCAGAAGTTTTTCTCTTTCTTGAGCTTAAAGCAGTTCTGTATCCTTTTTCGAACAAGTTCCTGTAGTCCCCTTTTTTTTCTTCCTTAGGACTATCTCATCTCCAAACCCCCCTCTTTTTTCCTTCCTTTCTTTGTTTTTCTCTTTCCCTCTCTTAGAGACATAGAAGTCAGCACCAATGTACCTGCATCTTATGAATACTGTAAAGAAAGTGCAATGAGAAGCTGGTGATCAGAAGTGCATTAGACTGTAGAAGCAATAATGAATGAGATTCCAGATAATGGAATGTTGTTTGGATAAAGATGGATAGGTTGCATGGGTTTGAACGGGAAGATGGTACTTGGAGGTGATTTACCTTGTAGGGGCTCCTTTAGTTTCCCTAAGGTTCACAAAAGCACCCAGTATTTATGAAAGAATGTTGGTAACATAATGCGAAGTTGGGACTTTAGTTTTGTATTCTATTTCACATCCTTTCAGTGTGTCATTCATTACTTGCCTCAACACTTACTGAGCTTTTGGTAGTGAAGCACTGAAATGGTAACTTTTGGGTGCTTATCTGAACAAAACTTTGTGAACTTCTTAAGTTCACTTAGAGTTGTCATCTTCAGTTCACCAATGAGCCTGAAAATATTCTGTTGATGATTTTCAGGTCTGAATTGCAATTCAAGCTAATAATTTTTATGCTCTCTTTTAGCAAATCCTCATCAAGAGGTACAGACTATTATAAATTAAACATGCTGAAGTAACAGAATTATGTTTTTAAAAATTTTATTAACAAAAGGTGACCCTCCTAAATTATCATAATTTAATATGCCTTGCAAATGTATCCCATCTTTTTTTTTTTATTTTAATTTTATGGGCTGAACTGCTAACATTCATTGGAAGTTTTCATGAGTTTTGAAAACAAGAACAGCACAGCAATTTGATCTTTGCTCATATTACTGAGTTTTCATTGTGCTGTACTATAACAATTTATTATGACTATGATATAGGATGCTTAGATGTTACATAATTTCAAATGCCTATATGTAACTCTGCATGATGCAACAGAAAAAGGCTCCATCATTTATAATACTTAGGCAAAAAGAAGGTAATTTGATTTGCTGTGTTTTTTTCTCTAGATGGGTTCAGCTTTGTTTAATTTACTGCAAATACAAGCATCCGAATTCCAAACTGAAGTCATGGAACCCTAAGATACACCGTTACAGGTTGTCATCTATCTTGTCTTGATCTTGTGAAAGGCCTCAGCTTCAGTTTATGTTTCCTGGATTTTTAAAACTTTTCCCTTGTTTGCTTAACAAATTAGTAGCTACTAAATCCAGACATTTTGAGACTGACTTTGAAATCATTTATTAATTTTCAGATTATGCTTCTTTCTCTTAGTTTCATTAAATTGATCAAACAAATGTAATGTTGGCAAAATATACATTATCTTCATCCTTTTTCATGGAAGAAAAGACTACCCTAAAAGGGTCACCTGTTGATGAGTGGGTGTGGGTGCGTGAGTGTGTATGCTTGTGCGTGTGTGAAAAAAAACAGCATACTTTCTATTAGTAATTTTGGGCCTGACTTTTTCAGAGTAGTTTCTCATATGTTTTAAGGCTGGCTTATTAAAAACTATTGGTTAGGGATGTTACAGATGATGGGGGTAGTAGGGAAATAGCGCCATTCAATAAATAAAGTGGTAGCAGGTATAGAGTTTGTGGGGTTGAGCTGAAGAAGAGAAACCTTTATGAAGCTTAGTCATAATTCGTTGTTTAACTTTCCAAGGTTGGTTGAAAATAAAAAAGACACAGACATAGGAGTACCTGGTATAATTCCGTTTTCATTTAATGAAATAAGAGCACAGATTTCTAAATTTTTTTAGGTATTTTGTTTGTTTTCAAATTACTATTAGTGTTATTTTTGATTTCATGTACAGGATGATGGAGAGTATACTTCAGATTCTATATTTTCTTTTAAATGCAGTACAGTAGAGAAAAATAAACAATATGTTAGATTTGGCTATATTAAAAAAAAATATTACAAAACCCCTTTCATTGCTGGGGTTTAATATAAATCACGTCTACAAATTGATACATTTTTTAATTTTTGTGAATCTTCAGTGCTTTGAATAGTTTTTCTTTGAGGAAATATTCTGTTGATTTTAGGATATTGTATATCTGTCTCAAACAGAGCTCCTTTCTGATTTAAGTAGATGTTTCTGCTCACACATTAATAGTATGATAAAGCCCATAGTAATTTTACACTACTCTCATTTTGTCTTTTGGGATTAACTGAGGTAAATTCCTGTTGAAATTACGGTCTGGCAAAAGGACTATCAGACTATATCAGTAATAATACCTAGTTTTGACATAATGCTTCTCAAAACAATTTAGGAATAAATATTTTTCTCATTTTGTGAAGTAAGGAGGTGAATTGACCTGCTTGTAATCTTCCTACAAACACACGAATGACTAAAATAGTTTTGGAGTGCTGTATTCATTAATTCACACTGTTGAATTAAAATGTCAGGCTGATATTAGATCAGTGAATTAGAAGAGTCTAATGCACCCGGGAAGCCTGAATATACAGAAAGAATCCTATTGAAAGGAAATTGCCAAATGTGCTCATTTTTAGAGACAAATGGCAAAGCCGTATTAATTTTTACTTCTACTTGCATGATAATATATAGAAAGTACACTTGTGTAGGTGTATCAGAAGTGGTATTCTGCATGTAAACTCTGGAGCAAAAACCAGAATTTTGGATTCAAATCATCCTGACGCACAGATATTTTAAAACTCCAGACTGCTATCCAGATCTGATTTTTAACTTTTGTAATGTTCAAAATCTTTGTTTCTTAATGCAATTGAATGTTTTGCTTTTTAGAACATTGGAGCAAACTCCATGAAGTCAGATCAGCTGTTAACTTAGACATTTGAATTTGGCCAGATCTAAAATAAATACAAAGTCACAAGTAGAATTATCACAGTTTGATGCTTTTTAATTTGACTATGTAAACCACACATAAAGTATGAGCGAGTAAATCACACCAATTTTGTTCAACAAAATGAGAAAGTAAATTAAAGGTTAAGTAAATAAGGCAGGATTACAACAGGAGGACCTCATACTGTGTCTGAAAAGAATCCATTTTAGGTTTTCACTTTGAAATCCATACTGTATTTAAGTTTGGATTAATGGTTGATTTAGATGTGAAATTGTTTTAGTGTTGAATTTTAGCACCTTGGTTGCTGTGAAATTTGTAATTGAGTTATATTTTTCAAGAAGCTTTGTGGTGTATCTTCTGGAACTTCTCTGTTTTATTTTAATTAGTATGTTTATTTACATGTATCTTAATTTGAAAATGTTTCAGCTGAGTGAGAAAAAAATTATTCAGAGTTTTAAGTTAAGTAAGTATTTATACTGCTTGCATTTCTTTATTGAAAAAAAATTAATTTGAAAAGTTCTGCGTTGGCTACAGGTAGACTTTTACAAGTGGCAGTATATCTCCCAAAACAGGCTTAATAGTTTTAAGTTTTCATAGAGCCAGGCACTAAATAGAATGAACTAACTTAGGCCTAATTTTAAAAAATTGGATGGAAACTCCAAGAATCACCAGTCAATCAGTTTTCATTCCATATAATTTCAAACCATTCCTATAGGCTATTTTTTAAAATGGATTATAGAAAAGATGCCTTGCTTCTGCCAGCCATGGAATTAAATACGCTGTGCTAACATCCCTGCAAGAATGGCACCAGCTGATTTTAAACTTCGTAAATAATTTTGAATTTTTCAAGAAAAGATTCTACTGTTGAACTGTTGCTGCAGTGGCTAGAGAGTAATGTATAAATAAATCAACTTTTATATGCAGTGCAATACAAGAAACATGAATCTCAGGGTAAAACATAGCAGTTATACCTGTTGATGTGTATAGAACACATTGTATAGGGCATATAGGTGCCAGATACTTACTCATTATCTCAGAGAAACAATGAACCTGGAGGGGAATGGGCAATAACTTTAATTCATTCATGCTGTCTTTTCCTTTTTCTTTTTCTTTCAAGTTTCATGTAATCTCTACAAGGATTTTTTGTAGGGTATTATTTCAAGCAGCAGTTAAATAAAATGAAACTGTAAGGATTATCATAAGATCATTTTAAAGATCTTGTTCTAGTCCAAATTTTAAAAAGTACTTTAAAATATAGAATATGTTTAAGAAAGTTGTGAACTCTTGCACAGATCCCAAAATAATACAGCAAAGATTATTGTGTAAATAATTTACTGTAATAGCACACAAAAGAATCAGAAGATATTTGCAACTGAAGCAACTTTGAAGATTTAGTGTTCACCCAATTTTGGATTATGCCCACATTATGCATTTCAATCCTTTTCTAGTTTTAACAATTCATCTGCAATATGAGCAGAACCGGCTTAATTGAAATTAATAAATGGGAAAACTAAATAAGGAAATATGGTGGGAACAAAAAGATTATTTGAAAATTTCAGTTAGTTTAAAACTGACAGGATAGGGAAATACATAGGCTAAATCATTTATAAAAGAGCAACTGCAAATCTAAAAAGCCTAAAGGAAATATATTAGTAGGTAGGTTAGTTAGTTCTAACTTCACATGCAGTGAAATAAGTGTTGTAGAAGAAAAATGTGGCCAGTCTGAGCTCAAAAACTTTCTTTTTACATAAAAGAAGGAAAAGTAATTGTTGCTCTTTCATATCTCAAAATTTTTGCTATCCTTTTGGGGAGGTAATTTTGAGGCAGATAGCAGCCTTTATAGAGCCTCTACAGCTTATCTGAAGACTACTTCTCTAACAACACTAAATTATATTAAGCCTAGTCTTAGCACAAATCAAGAAGAAAAGCAATTATAAAACATTACTTGCATGGCAAGTGGGAAAACACTTTATTGTCTAGTTTTGATGCTTCCAGAATTATTTTTTTTTTGGCAGAATATTCTTAGGTAAAATATACAGACTTCAAAATTGCTGCCATCAGAGCCATCTTTAGATTTCTCTCTCCAGACTATGTCTTAATTGTCTCTGTTCAAAACAAATTTGTGTATACATGTGTGTATGAGGACTGGAAGAAATTTTGGGCTTTTATTCTGATCAACTTGCTTCTGCCTTCTTTCCTAGGAAGTGTGTAGAGAGCTCTGGTGCCTCAGCAAAAGTAATCGCTGTGTTACCAACAGCATTCCAGCAGCAGAAGGTACTCTTTGCCAAACAGGGAGCATTGAAAAGGGGGTGAGTACAAACAATTTATTGTTTGAAGAAGCAATTTATTGTTCAAAGACTACAAGAAAAAAGAACTAGAGAATTAAAGCATTTCACAGCAATTATAACATTTCAAACAAAAACTTGGTTTATCATAATACATGTGCATTGTAATGCAAAGTGCCCTACAGAATTTTTTCACTGTTATTTTATATGTGTAATTTAATAAAATATTTATCTTCTCTATAAAACCCTAGAGCATGAATCAAAAAACAACCCCAAAACATGTTCTATTTACTCTGTATACTTTTGAGTAATTTTCTTTAACAAACTCTTAGTTTAATCTTTATTTGATTTCATACCACAGGATTGTTACAGTTTTAGGTTTGTCATGGCCTTTGAAAATGTGCAACATAAATCTAGAGCCTGAACTGTGTCATTTTGTTAGAAGGGAAAAGAATTTTACTTTTTTCCCATATAAGCCAAATCATACAAGTATAAAGTAAAAATGATGACTCCATAAAAGGGTTTTATAAAAGTCTGTATTTCCCAGTGACCTTTCTATTTTGACTTTGAATTATTCTTTCACTATTCAGTTATGCTTGCATAACTGTTTAGCTTTATGGACTTTGATGTACAGTCAGATAAGCTCTTCTACCTAACAGAAGAGTACAAAAAGTCACTTTTGCAATAGATACATTTAGCACTAAAGTATCTGTCTGAATATGAGTATGAATATATCTTTTGATTTTAAAACAATCTCTGTATATCAGTAGTTTCAGGTAACAATGTTAGAAAACCACTTCTCAATTAAAAGGCAAAATCTATAGAGATCTTAAAGAGGAGAGAAAAATAGTTTTATTGATTTAAAAGATATGTACTGGGGAGGAAAAAATGCATTTTACATACTTTTTTTCAAGACAATACTTTTTATGCAGGTTTGTACAAAGTGAAGAGAGCTTGTTACATTAAACTGTTTCCAGTATCTGTCTGAGAGTGGCTGCATCTGTCCATGAGATTCAGTGATCCAGATTGGATTTTTTTCTGAACATCTATTCTCACTGTGACTTTTGTCATGCTAGCTGAGCTGGTTTCCACAAAGATAACAGTGCATTTTGACTTGCAATCTGATGTTTAAACAACAAGAATGAAAGCTTTTGGGCAGCTGTCAGAGCTTATTAATGTGTGTTGACGACTTCATTCAGGGCCCTTGACCTGGTGTCGTTCTGATGGCTTTTCAATGCTGGGTTTGGAAATATTGGTAAACCATGTTAAATAAATTTATTGAACCAGTCATTTAAAAAAATAGAGTGAATAGACTTAGCCAATAAAAATAGAGAGACCTTCACACAGTACTAAAAATGTTACCTTATATTAGAGTAATAGAAAATGTTAGAAGCATTGCTCTTAAATCAACAATCTAGGTTTATTTTGGAACCATCCTCCCTTTTGATGACAAAGAGTATTTTACGTCAATTTATGTTTTTTAAACCATGAGACTACAAGTTGACATCCTTTTAGACACAGTTGATCTGTTCCCTTGTCAAGAGGTTTTAATTAGTTTTCTCTCCACCAAATATCTTTTTCCAGTCACCAGTATCTTGTTCCATTGTTAGATTTTAGAGGGAAATTAGAGAATCCATGCCATTTTACAAAGATAAACCGGTTAACCAAAGATGCCTTTTAACAGCAGAGAATTGTGTTTATGAACTTTATCCACAAAGCTTCCTGTGAATTAATAGTTCCTGGTAGCAATAAACCAGAAATCATGAGCTCTTTCCAAATATGTAATTTTCTTTCCCAAAGAGTAATGTGAAATAAACAGGTTACTGCACTGTAACACCTTCTTCTTGTTATTATTATTCGTACATTTGTACTGCAGTCATTCCTAAGGGCCCTAACCAAGTTAAGCCCTATTTTGATGGATTTTGTCCAAATAGATAATAAATGAAATTTCCATATCTAAAAACCTAACAAGATCTCAGACTATTTAATTGTATTTAGATATTTATTTATGTATTTTGTGTAACGAAAAAGTCAAAAGCATAATTTGATGCAATATATATTAATATCTTATTGGCAGAATGTGTAGGGATTTCTGCAATTAAAATAGCCTAACCTTTTACACTAAAACCTTCTTTTTATAAACCTACCAAGATTTTAACCCTTTGGGTTGAAATTTCCCATGGTAGACATCTGCTTACATCTGAAGATATTTAGTGTTTTCCATAAGAGTTATTCAGCTGTTCTCTGCATGCAGGGAAGGGGAATAAAATGGTTTCTTGCTGTTGATGAAATGGTTACATCTGTTCTGTCTTGAAACTTTAATATGTTCATGGTTTGGTGAAGGGTTTTACATATCAGCTGGGTTCAAAAGGTACACTTTTCCTAATTTGTAACAAGAAGTTTAAATATGTATGAAGTTTCTCTCTGATATTCCCAGAGATGTGTTTATGAAGGCAAATTAACTGACATATTTTTAAGAATACATTTATGGAGAAACTGTGCTTATAAAAACAGTAAGACAAAACTGATAGGAACACTTACGGTCGTGTTTTAATTTAAAGTGATAAAAAAGGTGACCCTTTCTGTAGATCATAGATTACGTCCATGCTAGGGATATAAAAGAGGGGCAAACAGGCGAAAAATAAAAACACAGTGCTGAAAGGATACTTTACCTAGCTATATTGTGGGATGATTTAACTTCTCATTGGACATTAACATAAGATAAATGTAAGTTATTATTGAACATTATGTTTTCTTGCAAAATAATTGCAGAATGATTGAAAATTAGTAGTTAAAATTTAAATTTATGCTAATGTTTTTCTTCCTCATACAAAATAGGAAATAAATTTTTCTCAATATTAGAGTACTGGATGTGTGATTTTTCTAAAATCATACTGTTATAAATGTTAATTCTGTAAAGCAGCTAATACTCATAAAAGTGATCTCAAATGTGCCACTGTATCATATTTTATTTTCATTAGTCAGTTCTTTAGGAAAAATTTCAGACTGCTTTTATTCACAGAGGATTTGCATAGTTTTTGTGTATTTGAATGCATCTCTGTTATCTTTCTGCTGAAATAATGGAAAATTATTCTTTCAATGTTAGAAAATACTATTTCAGATCTAAACGTTCCATGAAGAACTATTCTTTTAAAATAGCTGTTGCCTCCTCTTCTTTCTTCATATGGTGATTATTCAATAGTCCTAACCTCATTGTAGCAGATGATGTTGCTGTCATTTGTGGAGGTAACAAATTTCTGCAATCCCATTGGAAATAACGAAGATTTTTGACATTCTTAATTATTCTGACAGAGATTCTATGCATCAGTGGCTTCTAGTGAAAGATAAATTTTTACTAGAAAATTAAGAAGAGACACAGAGGTGAGCAGCAAATCCTCAGATTTAAGTACAATAGAAGAGAAAACCTAGCATTTAAAGAGGTTTTACAGGGCAGCGTGGGAATGTGGAAGATGATGTTTGCATGACAGTGGAAATTACACACTGTAGGGATTTTATACAGCTTTGGAAAAATAAGGCAGGCAAATTTCACCTATTGTCTCTGTAGTTCTAATAGGATGGAATTAGGATGGTTTACATATTCATTTTGATATTGGTGATATTCTTATGAGTTTAACTTTAAATCTGAGTATCTTGCATTTCTTAGCTTGGATCTTCATATGGTTGTAATGTATGTAATATAATTTAAGTTATATTTAAATTATTAAAAGCAACTAATTTGATGGTTACAATTTTACTCTTAGAAGCATTTTCGTTTTAGCTTTTGACTTTAGCATTACATGAAATATCTGTTCATGTACTTTTGTGGCATCTCTAATAGAGCGTAACAACGAGATTTTGGTATTTAGTCAATTAAATGTCTATCAATTTATCGCTGTAAACAGAAGAAAAACGTGATTTTAGGAACTACTCTAGCTCACATAAATACTTCATTCTCCATCCTTATTGTGTCATGTGAGGCATTGCAAAACACTGTGCTTTTTGGATCTATCTGTACTAGCAAAAAAAGTGAGTTCACTCACTATACAGCATGAATTGTTTTACACAGACATTCAATACTAGTCTACATTTAAGAGAAGCTCCTTATGAAGGGTGCAGTCCTCTCATGAAGTCCTGACTGAGTCTGTACGTTTAGCACTCCAAGAAGAGGAAAAGAAAGCTAGGCTTTGCTGTAAATATTACTCTGAAGTTAAGATTGAGTCTTCTAGTAGTGCTTTAGAGTGGGACAGGAATATGTCTGTCTGTCCATGTCTTCTGTGCATGTCTCAGTGTGTCAAATTCATATGGCTGGTTTTGGATATGGAAGTCATCTGTATTTCTTTTTGGAAAGGGGCAATAATACAGAAATTCAAGGGAGTTTAAAAACAGCACTTGCTCAACTTTTGGAAGGGAAATACGCAAATAAAGGCTATGATAGACCTGAGACCATGCTCTACTAAGCCTATAATTGGTCCTCACCTAAGCCTGCAATAGTAGGAAAGGGTATCTAATTGAGCTACTTCACATACTCAGTGATACTGTAGACTCCAGAATGTGATCAAAAATATGGGCTTTAGAATTATTTCCGAATGGTTTAGAAAAGGTCTCTGATGAACTAAACTATGAATTTGTTTCAGTAGCTAATAATTTGGGCAAATTGTCTGTAATTTTATATTTCTGACTTAAGTAATAATATTGCAAGGTTTAAGTGTTTGCTTGAATGAAGTAGATGTGTCCATTCTGTCCCAATCAAGTGGCCCGTCACTATTATAAAATTATTTTCTGTACCATGTCTAATGCTTCTGCACCACTTTTATTATGTCTGTAGTGTAAGTAAATGAAATACTGCAACAAGTTCTTCCTTCATTTTCCATTCAATTTTCTTTTATAAAAATATATACTTTCTTAAAAATACTATCAGAGGAATTTTTCATTTTCTCTAATGAAGCCTCTACATGAATCTTCAGTGGAGGGTCTTTTACCAAACTGGGCTTGGAAATGAATCTTAGTGTTTAAAAGAATGTAAGCAACTTGTAGTTCCTTAATTGTGAAACATTAAAGAGGTTGATGAAATAAAAAATACTTCTGGTGTGCTAGGGACCTATAATTCAGGACTGAGTGGAGACATTTAACAAATCACACACACCCTCACCAATGTCTAAACATGGCTAGAAAAAGTAAAATACTAGTCTTGTTATCTATACAGGGAATGCTAATGCCTATAATTGGTCATTGTCTGACCCTTATATTTTTCTGCCCTGATAACTCTGTTAGCCTCCAAGCTAATTTTGTGTTTCTTTTGTGAAATCTTTCAGTGGTGTTATCAGGGAGAGTGCGTACCTTTTGGCACTTGGCCCCAGAGCATAGACGGGGGTTGGGGTCCGTGGTCAATATGGGGAGAGTGCAGCAGGACCTGCGGGGGAGGCGTCTCCTCATCTATAAGACACTGTGACAGTCCAGCGTAAGTAGCTAAAGTAAGCCAGAGCCAACAAAAAACACATTTGGAAATTATTCAAAACTGTGGTTTCATTTTTATCTGTAAAAATGTTTTGCTAGTTTGCCAGCATTTGTCTTCAAAAGAGCAGACAGAAATGCTTAAACAGGAGTTCACTAGACATACTTTTAACATTTTTAATATATCTTATGTACTGTAAATATAGTGGATTTATATTTTGCACTAACCAGAATGGTTTTATTTATGTGACATGTTGACATGTTGTTCATCAAAATATATTTAAATTATGCCTTAGAGACGTTTGTTTCTTAGGGCATATTTCCTTTAATGCTTCACTCAGATATAAAATAACAATTACCAGTTACTTATTAAAAAATAAACCCCAAACCCAACACAGTATTTCCAACGTTTTCAATATAGTTCCTTAGATAAAAACCATAAGTAGTAATATTATATTGCATACAATGTATATATATGTGTGTGTATATATATATATATATATATGTTGCCTTGTCCAACACTTCAGTTGTGACTTCCTACTGACTCTTAAAACAATTCAGCATCTTTTTTCCCTGCCACTACTCACTCTTTGTCTCTCTGCCCTCTCTAAAGAGGGGCCAGCTTCTCCACTACAGCTTGATCTGTTGTATATATCTGTACTTGTTTTACAATCTGTCTCTTTTCCATCGCCCTGAGCACTGTTCCAGAGAAGTTGTCAGGTAAGTGCTCCTCTCTCTGTCACTATCTCTTCTCAAATGAAGAATGCCTATTTCTATTGCTGTTCTTCTGTTCTTTGCTGAATGAATTGCTGCTCTTTTCTGTTTTGGCTTTTACCTGTTCTAATTACCACAGCTATAGGTCTTTGCAGGATAGATTTATTACTCCATGCTCTCTGCTTGTCATTTCTCATAGTCACTATCTCCATCACCACTATTGGTTTTTAAGACCACTTTTTCTGAAACACATTTGTGTTTCTTTCATGAAAATTCATTCTGTGTCTTTTGTCACTCCTTTCATTGTCTTCTGCTCTCTGTTCACTTAGGTAATTTGTTTCTTATATCTGTGTTTTCCAAGCCAGTCTGTCCACCAACTTTCCGCTGCACTCTGCAAGACAGACACCATAATGTCATATCACTGCTATTTAAAGTGGCCTTATGTCCCCTATTATTAGCAATAACTACCTAATTTATCCAATATCACTACTTACTCAATGGGTTCAAAAGCAGAAATTATCTGTATGCATCAATAACATGTCAGACATTTCCTGGTTAAGTACTGTAATGTGAGAAATAGTATTGATTTAAATTTTTTAGTTAATTTTTTATTATGAAAGCCTCACAAAGTATTTTTTCTTTCTGCTTTCAAGTTGCAAGCCAAAGAGCTGATGTCTGATTAATCTTCCATATAAGTCTAACTTAGTTCATTATTTGACCTCTATGGAAATAGTGTTCTTGAACAGTTTGGGAATTCAACAGCCAATTATCTGTGCTTATAGAAATCTGCTTACTTTGGAGTTTCCTCACATTTAATACTGATTAATTTAAATCAGAGTCAAGTTTCTGAACTAGAATATACAGTCTTTGCTGTTTCCAAGTATAAAACCAGTCTTTGTTGGTTTTCCAGTAAGATGAGATAATTGAAAAAAAAAAATGTCACATAAGTTGTTTACACATTTCTTATTTTAATTTTTTAAAGCAAGCAAATAATTAAAGCCAACAGTTTTTTGTTATGTTTAAAATGCAATTAAACTGTACTGTTTGGAACTTATGGAAACTACATTAATGTAATGAGTGATGATTTTTCAAGTACCCAGTAATATTTTGTGTGATGCAAGTCAAAGATACAATTCTTATCAAAATCTCATCTTAAAACTTGAACGTATTTTTATTTATATAGTATATATCTCTTGGACTTGTATTAATATTAAGAATGCATTAGTCTATCTCATGCAATTGTGTTTGTTCTTGTGGAGATCCTAACATATAAACATGTTTTTCCAGGCCTTCAGGCGGAGGCAAATATTGTCTTGGAGAAAGGAAGCGTTATCGTTCCTGTAATACTGATGTAAGTAATTTTTGTTCCACTGTGATCAACTTGACTGGTTTACGTTTTAGCAGCAATGGATGCATTTTTTTTCCAGTTCAGAAAATGTATGGATTCTGTGTTTAATTGGCAAACAGTCCCATAAGGCACATATATTGCATATATTGCAGACCCTGTGTGTTCTGGTAAATGTTAGGATCCTATCTCAATGTGGTGTCTAGCTATTGCCTTTGCATTAAGGCCTGGAGTGAATTCAACTTGAGCTTCCACGGTAAATGTGAACAAGGATCCTTCCACATCAGATCAAAAATCTGTCTAGTTCACTGTCTTATCTTCCAGCAATGGCCTCTAACAGGTTTTTAGGGAATAGATTATACACTATTGACAGTCAAGGGATGATTTTTCTACTGGTTTACCTTGCTAATTTCCAAAAGCTGTGTGTCTAAAGATTGCTGGAACTTGTGTTGTATCTGTACCACATCAACTGCCACAGGTTAAAATATCCTCCATGAACCCACTTTTATGCCCTTAATGATGTTCAATGTTTATGTGTTACAAAGTCGTCTTGCACGCTCTCTGCAAATGTATTCAAAACCTGCTGGTTTTAGGTATTTGCTAATTACTGTATTACCAGAATGATTCTGCAGTTCCATTTTAGAGCTGAGCCCATTGGACAGGGACCTGAAAGGGCAGGACACAGTATAAGGTCAAATTAGGAACCTAAATTACAAATTCAAGTAAATTAAAATTGAAACCAGGAAAAAATACACATCAATAAAGAATTTCAGTAATAATTTCCCAAGTCACATTACAGGTAGCACTACAAACATAAAAAGTCTTTCCTACTATTTTAGCTTTAAATTCGTATTAATTTTCATCTTAAATCAAGGAAGTTTGGAATGTTGAAAGAATCTATTCCTAAAGATATTGTTTCACCTCTTTATCTTTTGAAATAGTCAGGAAAATATAATAGTTTATATACTGATTCTTTGAAAAAATTTGCATTTATGATCATTATTAATAATCGTAATTTTTATCCCTGCAAATTTCTCTCTGGAGGTTAGGCTCATTATTAGGCAGTATTAAAAATTTCTGAATTAAAAATTGCTTTCTTAATGTTGAGCACAGCTGCCCTGTTCACATAGCTAAGAAGTGGCCACAGTGTAGTAAGAAAAACTGAAGTTTAGATGCGGGTTTGGTAGGACCTGTAAAACTTCTCCAGTTGTCCAACCTTCCAAATCCAGCACGTCATTCTGGAACCTTGACCATGTTGGTTTTCTTTCTGTAGATGTGTATCTTTGCATTTGTCTGTCTTGGTACAATTTTAATTTGAATATGGATGTGGTTTATCAGATGATACTCTGCAATTAATTTACCTTTACTTTCATTCTGGTGGTCTTTTTGTAATTGGAAGATTTCATAAACAGGAAATATTTTTGTAGTTGTGGTTCACAAATGAAAATACTGAGTTACATCAAGTGTCTTTCTAATTCTTACAGCTGTCAGGAAATTCACTTTCAAATTTGGCAACTGCATGATGGCTGCTTGCTGAAATCTGTCAATATTTAGTAAATGTCACATATGCTTTATTGAACTATTATGACATCTTCCATGATGTTGCCTATTACTAAGCTATGTGACTTACCAAAATCTAAGCATATTTCATAAATATTTTAATTTAACCAGGAATTGTAGTAAGTTTTAGTTGATAAAACTTATACAAAAATACTGATTTGTATTATTGTGTAGCCTTCTTTTAAACTTATATTAGTCAAGTATCTGCCAACTTTCTCTTTATTTGGGATTGATAAGAGGCAAATAGTAATCTAGACTATTCTATTAATCCTTTTCAAATAATGATCTTTTTTCATTATCACTGTTTCAGTTTGTACACTGTGTACAATTTGTTAAAAAACACACACGGGTGCACAGCAGCCCTCCTCCTTTAACTATGAGGACTCTTGTGAAGTGTTTGTCCAGGCATTATTATTTCAAATATTGCTTTTGTCTCCAATCTGCCACAGTAATTAGTATATAAAAATGTTTACATAATATGTAGTCCCGTTCCTTCACAAATATAACATTTTTAATGCTTTTTTATTATTAAAAATGATGCCATATCTGCCTAGACAATCCATGGAAATGTTGCTATGATTTGTTTTATTTTTATTGTATTAAATTTCTAATTGTCACTTTTCAGTTTTATTCTTAGTTGGTTTTGCTTCCCCTATTATTTATTTAATTATTACAGAGAGGAAGTTAACAGAGTCAGAGGAGAAACATACAGAAGGTCTCTGAGGAGTCCATTCAGGTTATTTCCTGGCACAAAGACAAAATAATTCCCAATAAACCGTTCTTAACTGATGGTTAGGCACCTGACCTGTTTTGAAATACCTTCAGTCCAGGAAATAATATTTTTCAATATCCTTACAGTCAGTACAATTTTCATAGCATAAAATGTATGTTTTTCAATCCTTTAAGATTCCTACTTACTCTCTCCCCAGTAAGATGATAACTGGTATTATTCCCTAGATTGGAACCTTTCCTATGTTTGCAGATTATTATCATGTCTGTTCTTAGTTTTCTTTACACCAGACTATCTCCGCGTTGGCAACCTTTGGAATCCCAGTAGAACACATCTTGAAGTATGGTGCACAAACCACTGCACTAGCTGAAGCCTGTCAGAGATAATTCTAGTTTCAAACGTAGTTTGTCAACTTAGTGATGGGATTCTGTTCATTCATTTTAGTATTTTGTTTATTTTTCTTATGGTAGTGACAATGCTCATTTAGTCTAAGTTGATTCATTATGCCCAAAACTCCTTCTTAAAAGCACTGTTTAGGAGGTCATTCTTCAGCTGTGCTTTCACAGCTAATTGTTCATACCCAAGTGTAGTAATTTATATTCATTCAAACCACTGCAACAATCTACTAAAATGTTTAAAAATTACAGCACTCTATTCTGAAATACTGGTTTCCTACCATCCTCATATTTCAATCAGTAATTTCGACAAGGTATTGGAAAGGGAACTTCACATTTCATTGTCTAGGCCTGAAAAAAAAAACTGGTTGCAAACTCAAGCCAGGCAGTTTGGAAATGCCATTCTTACAGTTTGTGATCCATTTTTTTAGCATGTTTTTTTGGTATGGTTTTCCAGTGTGTGAACCTCTTGCAACTTACAGAAGTCTAAATTTACAGTCTTAATGGTTTAGGATTCTACATCACTAGGAATCAGAGACACTAGTAGGTTTTGTTTCAGGATTTATGTTAGTTCTTAGTGCTTGACAGTTTTAATGGAATGGTATGTTGATTAATGTAAGTCTTAAGAGTATGCAAATCTGTTATTGTTTTTATGAATAATGAGCTGTTTATACATTTTTTCTGTTGAAGTTTCTTTTGCAGTGTCAATATTCTTTGCCCATCTGTAACTTCCAGCATAGCCCTGTCTAAAGTTCCTCCCATTCATAACCTCATTTTTACTTCAATTTTCTTGCAGACAAGAGTCAATTCTCTTGCCTTTTTTTTTACCATTTTAATCCTTTGGAAACAGTACACACACTCCTACTAGACTTTCTCATCAAGCACTTCCAAAGCCATATATGACTTCTTAATTCAAAAGGCATCTGCTAATGGAAACATTGAGATCAGCAGAAAATAACATTAGCTAATAAGTTCTGGAAACAGAAGGATGGTAGAAAAAACACACTCATCAGAAAAATTTTTTATACCACCAATCACATTATCTCTAACAAAAATATGTATTTTTCCAGCAAAGTGTTTTTAATTTTAAAAAATTGCAAAATTCTAGTAGAATTGCAAGAAACGTAATTTCTCCTTTATAGTAAATAATTGATTTCAAATATTTATAAGGATATGAATCTTAATTTGACATACATCTAAAATTGTAAAAGTGTCCTTTTTTATCTATATGATGAAAAACATGGTTTGCTTACGAATTCTGGAAATGTTTTATATATGTGTATATACATACTTCTAAAACTTAATTGTTTTTCAGACCTTTCTCTTAACAGAATATTGGGGCTTTTTTGGAAGGGAGGTGTTCCTTTCATTATGCATACATTCAAAGATATGGTTTGTTGCTTTCATAATTTTAATATTTTCAAGCAATTTTTTTTCTGAAATTTGCTCTTATGAGAAGCCACATTTTGTAATAGTACCTGAGTTTGAACTGTTACTCTTCTGGCTTGTTTCTCCTCTTCTCTGAGAGGTTGTATAGACCTTTGTTAATAGGAAACAACAAGCTTAGTTGCTGAAATCTGCCTGACCTCAAACTCCAAGATGAGCAGGTGTGCCAGTGTTGAATCAACAATTTGTTTACAGTTTTTAAACTCAAAACATCTTCTTCGCAGGACTTTCTTCAGAGATAATTTTATATTCTCATATGCTTGCTAGATTCCTGCCTCATGATTTGCTGTCACATAAAAGAGCATTTGGAGACCTAAGCAGTCTTTTGCTTGACAAAAGTTATCCACGGACTGTAATAGCATTAAAAAAGTGAAATATCTTACCCAATAAAGAAAAGCAGTTATTACACATTTGCTTTAGGAAAACAACACATACACCAAGAGATGTTGCCAAAGAGATGACATTTTGTAAGTGCATTTTGTAGCTTACCTTGTAGTAAGCTTTTTGCCTTTCTATGTCTAGGATTTTCATAGGTTGGAAGGGACCCCAAGGACTATCTGGTCCAACATTTCTCTGCAAAAACATAGTCTGGACAACATGGCCCAGCACCCTCTTCAGCCAAATCTTAAAAGTATCCACTGCTTGGGAAATTACCACTGTTCGGAGGAAATTATTCCAATGGCCAGTTGTTCTCACTGAACAAAGTTTCTCTTCTGTGTTCAATCAGAACCTACGCAGGAATTACTTGCACACGTTACATCTCCTCTATGTGACTCCTTGTAAAAGAGAGAATCTCCATCTTCTCTGTAGCCACCCTTCAAATACTGTAACGTGGGGATAAGGCCTCCCCCAGGCCTTCCTTTCCCAAGGCTGAACAAACCCAGTTCCCTCAGCCATTCCTCTCGTTCCAGGCTTCCCAGCCCTGGGATTGCCTCTGTGGCTCTGCTCCAGACCCTCTCCAGCCTGTCCACACCGGTGCTGTGCACCAGGGGCCAAAACGGAGCACAGTATTTATTCCAGGTGTGGCCTGGCAAGCACTGTGTGGGGTGGGAAAGGAATTCATCCCTGCTGGGGAAGCCCTTGTTGGAGCCCCCAGGATCTGCTCCCTTTCTGGGCTGCAGGAGCGCTCAGGTCACTCAGACGGAGCTGAGCCCACCAGGAGCGCCAGGCCCCTTCCCACAGAGCTGCTCCCAAGCTGGGCACATCCCAGCCTGTGCTGCACTCCTGCATTGTGCTTTCCCAGGCACAAAACCCTACACTTGTCCTCGCTGAACTTCACACTGTTCTCATTAGCCCATAAGCTATTCCAGCTTATCCAGGTCTTTCTGCAGGGTGGATCTCCATTCCCAAGTGTCCACTTCCCCACACAGTTTGCTACTATTGCAAAATTTCACTAGGATACCTTGATCCCATCTTCTAGATCATTTTGGAAAATAAACAGTGGTGGGCCCAGTATCAATCCCTGGGGACGCCCCTAGTGCCAGGCTGTCGGTTTGAAGAGCAGGGATTGACCACTCCACTGGCTCAGCCAGGTGCCCACCCCCACTACAGACCCTTCATCCAGGCCATAACACAAGAGCTTCTCCAGGAGGAGGCTGTGGGAAGCAACTCTGAGAGTCTTGGAGAAATCCGGCCAAGCAATGTCCACCACTCACCCAACAGCAACTAAACAGGGTACTGTGCTGTAGAAAGCAACTGGGTTTGTCAAACACAGTTTTGAATTAATTTCTAGAGACGGTAGCCTTTAGTTTTACCTCCTGTCAGATATTGATGAGATACTAAAAAAAGATAGGAAAATTAGGCAGCAAGAGTACATCTCAAAGACCAGGTAGTGAAAATATTTTTTTGAGTATAAAAAATGAAATTTTGATCCTTCTTTACTCATCTTCATATTTTATCATTTTTTCCTAGTATAACTATTTAGATAAAGGGTTTCATTGTGGAGGTGATTTATTTAACTTGTAAGAAGAATTCAGTGTAATTAAAGTACTAGTTGTGTAGATTAGGAGCTGAGCAAATGGGACTGTCAAAGTGTGAAGTGACTAGTACTGGAGAGATTCAGGATCTAGCTTTTAGGGATGTCAAGACTGATCCTTCCACTGCTTGGAGAGTATGATACAAAGAGGCAAATTTAATTTGGGTTACTATTAAAAACACTCTAAAATTAATTATTTTTATAAATTATGTTGTTATTTTGAATTCCTATTGTTACCATCTGAAGGATTATTGAATAAAATAGTTGCTCTTACCAGTTAGTGCATTGTATTTAAAAATGTATTTTTAATTAGAAGGAGGTAATAAAGTAATACAGTAAATTAAAAATACAAATACTGTCTAATGTCCACTGTTTTAATTTATATTGATTCAGAATAGCAGAAAAAAAAAAATTAAAGCCTCTGAATCATATGGCAATGGGCTGGCTAACAGGAGATCTTGATTAATGTATAATGAGAATCATAATTGTTACGTTTATATTTGCATTGTGTGATAAATTTTTAGCGTCTATGTTAATAGATGCTAAAACTTGAACTCCCTTTCACTTGAATGCATTTCAGATTCCTGGGAAGTGATAAGTGACTTAGTACACAGGACGACAAGTAAAATTCCATAAAATGGACTGTTCTCTTGCTCATAAAGTAGTAATTTTTATTAACACCTCTGATGTCTGTCAAAACACTCCTTTTCTCTTTCACTCTAAACAGGATTTTAATCTGTGTTTTAAATATTTTCTGATGGAGCTTGCAATTTCAGTAGGTTCTTAAACATTGATAACAATATTTAATGACATGAGATTATATTCAAGATTACTTTGAATCTGCTAATGAAAGATGTTATAAATAGCAAAGAATTCTATTTCTCCTTTAATTCTTTCTGAGATTAATTTTACTTAAATCTACCCTCAATCCAAGTAAAAAAGTTACTTCATGGTTTTGTAATTGTTAATGCAAAGCAATATAAAGTTAAATGAAAAGGTTTTTTTCTTGATGCATGGAGGCTGGTAATCAAAAGCAGACATGCTACCTATTCTCTTGCTCAACCTTCAAAAATACTTTTGTCAAGGCTACAAGTAAGCTGGAGTGATATAGTTCTCTAGAAAATTTTTTTCTTGATGTCTTAATAACGTGTCTCAGTACAGCTGCTTTGTACAGTATAATTGTACCCTCAGCTCCAACCAAATTTTTTTTCCAGCTGTTTTTAATGTGTTTATAAGAAAGTAGTTGATGGATTGATTATGACGCATAGTTTGACAGGATTCTGATTTTCCAGTTTTATGGAAACTGTTATGTAACATTTACCTTTCTTTAAATTACTTCAGCTATTTCATGCCAACCTAAGATTGCAAATAGACACTTCAACTGTAAAGTAATAAAGCAAATTTCAGAGTCAGAGCCACAAGACAAAACCTTCTAATCACTTGCATGATTGTGTTTGCAGTATAAGCATCTAAGCATTTCCTTTCATGTTTATATTTGCAATAAATTAACTGTTTTGTGTCATTTTTTAGCCGTGTCCTTCAGGGGCTCGTGATTTTAGAGAGAAGCAATGTGCAGATTTTGACAATATGCCTTTCCGGGGAAAGTATTATAACTGGAAACCCTACACTGGAGGTAAGGGTTAGCATTGCAAAATCATTATCATATGTGAAGGTTTCAAAATTATGTAAATGTTGTACGGAGAGTAATCTTTGTAAATATAATGTTTTGACTGAAATAGCATGAGCTAAGATTTTTAAACTTGTACTTTTGTCAGTTGCTGCAAATGTTACTGAAGAGAAAAATTTCTTTATTCTAGTAGATTTTTTTGGTATGAAGGACACAGCACCATTGTAGAGACTCCACTTTAAAAATATGGAGGTGTTCTCCACGTGCAGCTGTACTAGAATTTGATATTCCATAGGCGATCTGCAAGTGCCTCTTATGCTACAGTGATGAGTTTGGTATTAAGTGATCTCACAATGAATTTGCCTTTCCTAAAGTCAGGAAGATATTAGGAAAATGAGAAAGAAGTAAAAGCATTTATAGGAGTCTCTAAAGACTACTTTAATAATTGCATTATTTATAATATCATACTTTAGTGATTTTTTCCTCTTCTAGAGATGGATGGTATAACTTTTTTTTTAATGCTTTACTGACTTGAATAAAATGATTTACCAATGATTTTTAGCTTAACAGCCTAACTGGCTTTACAAACTGGTTTTTAGATTGAACGTCTAAGAAAGGTTATCATGATCCTGTGGTGTGAGCTGTAGTGTAATTCAATAGGACTGAATTCTCAACTGAAATTTTCTGATCTTGGTTTTGATACACTTCTAGCACTACATTCTGTTGCTGTTCTTGCTTTTCAAGTAGTGCAGTGGTACCATTGTTTTAAATTGTTCAGTAACCTTTAGGATTGTACCAGCATAACAACATCATTATGGACCCAGCAAACCTTGTAGTATCTTACTGTATGAAATAATCCTTTTTGCAAAAGAGAAGAGTCAAATAGAGAAATTATTAAGGGGAAATTAAATAAAGTATAAAGTATATGTATTGTATATGTCAGGCATGAGATAAGATTGTAATTTGCAGGAGTTTATGTATAATATTTTTAACTAAACCCTAACTTTTTAGTTTTCTGTTATTTTTTTTCCTTTCATTTGATTTTGTTGTCCAGGTGGGGTTAAACCATGTGCATTAAACTGCTTGGCTGAGGGGTATAATTTTTACACTGAACGTGCTCCTGCAGTAATAGATGGGACTCAGTGCAATGCTGATTCACTGGATATCTGTATCAATGGAGAATGCAAGGTACAAATGTTTTGTTAAGTACTTATGGATTACTTTGTTGTGCCTGCTGTCACCTGTATCTAGTTATGGTACTTGTACCTTACATGGAACAGAGTGTTGACAGGTCATGTTGTTAATAAAAGTGTAAGATTGAGACAAAAAGTTAAAAAAGGTATTGCATAAAATAGACAAATAATTTGAATTTCAGTAACTTCTCACAGACATTAATAGAATCTGCCATTTTATCTTTTTTCTTGCTTTATGGTTGCTGTTGGAGAGTTGATGGAAATGTAACAGGAGATGAACAGGTTCCTTACACTTTTCCAAGGCCTGTTCCATCATTTCAGTTAGAACATCGTAGTGACTGAAAAACACTAAATGTGAGCATATTAATCTGTTTAACTAGTTCATCCTGTTGCAAAAAAATCTTTCTGTTAATGTAATTGAAACAGAAAGTCATCACTATTGCCCTACGATTCTAGGAAAAATGTATAATGATGTAAGTATTTGCCATTTACTAAAAATCTGATTATCTTGTAAGATTCCTATAGAACTGCATTATATAAGAATTTCAATAGAATTGGGGTTCTGTGCCGTATTTTTTACTATTACTATTCCACTGCTTCCTCAGTTCAGCAAAGCATTTAATTAAGTACTTAGGTCCAGATATTTAAAAAGTACTGGTGACTAAAAATTACTTGATTTCAACAAAACCAGTGACATAACTAAAGTTTAACTTACTGCTGAAGTGCTTCGCTAAAAGGAGGGCTGAAGATATATATTTATTGAATGACATAGTGAGATCAAAAGCTTTTGCCATGTTGTCATAAACTAATGAAAAGGATCTCAAGTTGAAAATGAACTATGAAGAAAGTTGTCTGTCTGTCATCTTAATGAATCAGTAAGTCAAAATGTAAATAATTAAAATACTATATTTTGTCAGTTATTAAAAGTTATTTTAACTTTTCTTATGATGTGTGTATTAGCTGTTTATGAGATGGCAAGTAACAGCGCTAGACAGGAAACAAAGACAGGTAGACAATTATGTAGCTATCTTCTTCTTTGTATAAGTTCTGGAAAAATATTGACAAGCTGCAGTCTTTCTGTTTACAACCTACTTATTTCATCCTAATTTTTTTATTTTCCCAAAGGTTCTGTATTTATTTTCATTTATTTTAATTTTTTTCATCTAATACAGCATGCAATTCAGCTTTTCACTATGTTTCATTCTGCATTTATTCTTACTGTGAAGTCATTTACATTCTACATTCATTCTTACACAAATAACAGGTTTCCCCTGCAGCATGTGAAATATGGTCTATGAAGCTGTAATGCCTTAAGAATACTACTTACTCTGTCTAAATGTTTAAGGATGACAAAGCAAATTTTTACCTTAGAAAAGCAATATAGGGAGCATGAAGCTGTAGTAATATCAAATAACAATATCAGGAATCATATATTGATAAGTATAATAATTATATTATATGCAAAACACTGTGAAATCCCTTCCTAGAAGTTACAGTAAAAATGCAAGGTTCTTCTTAATCAAGATTTGATAACAATCCAAAATGTGAATTCTCCTTTTTTACCTCCATTCAGTGAAAACCCACTTGAAGTATTGCTTATCAACAATAGATAAAATAAGAACTGAATACCTCAAACTTGCGAGAAACACTTCAAAGAAGCTTTAGAAATAATGGTGCATGCCCATCATCCTGTTAAAATATTTGTTCTTATCTGTGCTCAGCATGTAGGTTGTGATAATATTTTGGGGTCTGATGCTAAGGAAGATAGATGCCGTGTTTGTGGAGGAGATGGGAGTACATGTGAAGCCATTGAAGGTTTCTTCAATGATTCATTGCCCAGAGGAGGTATGTAAATGTATGTTCATTCTGTTGCACAATGCTTTTAGATGACTCTTTATCAAATACCAGTGCTGCCTCCATTCTCAGCATAGCATTGCTGCTGGTCATTTACTTTGACTCTGTCTGCCTATTGTTTCCTTTTTTCTACGTATGAGTTTGGATTTATCCCAAATACAACAATGTGTTTAATTACTGAATGCTTCGTTCTGTTGGTGAATTCTTTTTATTATTAGTTATGGTGGTATATTAAGAGAAACATTGTGTATTATTTTACTGTGTATGGTAGAATCTGATAGTCATGCATGAATTTTAGAATAGCAAGAATACAGAAAATCTCAGAAGTTCATCATATTAAGAATTCGAGAAATATATATAGGCTATTATTTTAAAACTTAGCTCAAAAAATATTAATCTTGTAGTCTTAGTGCTACCAGATTTTGGATTCCATAATTCAGGAAAAGGAATCATGCACTGCCGTCAGTTCTGTCTAGTAGGGGACCAGTAAGATTATAGGGGTCAGGAACACTTGACGTGCTGTGAGGAAAGGTTGAGAGAACTGGGCTTGCTCAGCCTGGAGAATCCCCTGGTTTATGGGAATGTGGTATGAGCCCTCCAATGCTATAAGGAAGTCATGGAGAAAACAAAGCTCTGCGCTGGTGGGTACATGGTGGGAGACAAGATAGTAGCCATAAACTGATAGAAGAAAGGTGACTAATCAAATGGAAGGAAAAACTATTTCCTCAGGAGGACAGTCTAGCAGTGGATCAGATTTCCCTGAGAGGTTGTACAGTTTCCATCTTTGCAGTTTTTCATGACCCAGCAGGATAAAGTTTGGAGTAATTCAATCTGATCTTCTAGATGTGCCTGCTTGTAGCAGGAAGTTGGACTAAATGATTGACTGAAGTCCTCTAACACTTAAATTATCCTATGATCCTAAAGACAATTTAAATATTAATTATTTAAGATACACTGTTGAAAATACTTTATTAGCACTTAAAAAAGGAATTCCTGAATACTTAAGTTCTTGCTATCAGTTAAAAAGTTTTGTATGAAGTTTAAAGAGTTTTCCTTTGTATCACATGAAAGAAAATGTTCTAGTACATTTGAATCCCATATCTTATACTGATTTTTAGTTGTAAGTAATTCATTAATGGTTTGTTTCATTACTTAAAATGGATGAAAGCAAAAAAAGCAAATTAAATTTATCTTTTTATTACAGGATATATGGAAGTGATTCAAATTCCAAGAGGTTCTGTGCACATTGAAATAAGAGAAGTGGCAATGTCAAAAAACTATATTGGTAAGAGCATTCTTTGAGTAGCAGATAGGTATTAAAGTGTCAGAGTTTATACTGTGATTTGAAGGTACAATTTCTGGTTTGGTCAAGCCTTATACACAGTAGAAGCAGCAGAGGGAATAGTTAGCTGTTAATACAGCTGACTTGTAATCGGACAGTTAATAGTTAGGATGTATTCTCTTCGATGGAGTTACTGAAATACACCACATATTTCCTCCTTGTCCTTTCAGTGCAAAATCATGCCAACTTCACTATAGTTAAAGTGTTAGACTTGAACTGAAGCGGATGAGGAAACGATGCTCAATATGAGGAAATAAAATACTTGGTAACAAGGAAATGAAGCTCAAATAGTCTCGTGTCCCACTGTGAAGTAGTGTCTTCCACCTGGAAAGTCTCTTGGGGGATTAAACTGTTTTAAAATACAATTTTATTTCATCATCAGCATAATTACTTAAATGCTAACAATTCTGTCTCTTTACTTCAAGGGAATTTTATGTATCAATTACACAGTGTTGCTGCATTGTAGATACTAGAAACCATTCCTGGTTTGTAGGTAAGAAAATTAAGCGCAGAAAAGCTATGTGATAATCGAAATCGTTCAGGGAGCCTACTATAAAGCATAGAATTAAATTCAGATTCCCAGATTCTTACTCATTTCTCTAGAGGCTGCTAAGTGTGCTTTCTGGTTTTTTAATACTGATATTTACAAATCTGACTTTGTCAAACTCAAGGCAATGTGTGTTGCTGAACCTTGTATTGCAAACCTTGGTTAGCATAGCAGTCAGTTGACAGTGGTACAAGAACACCAATTTCTTAGTCAGAAATAGATTAGAGAGCTGATTAATTGTACAGCAAACTAAGAAATTAACACAAGCAAAAGCTATTACTTGTTTAAGCTGTAAAGCAGGTCCTGAGGCTACTTCTTTCTACCTTTGGTCCATGTAAATAACACTACATGTTGGAAAGGATTGTGGTGTCTGTGGGTGTAAGTTAGAAAGGCAATTATCTTCATTAGAACATATATTCCTAAATGGATTATATTGACAGTAATGGCACCTTTTACTGCTGATTGCCTACCTTTCTTTCTACCTGCCCCCACCCTTCTGTAATGCAGCAGATAGTCAACCTGTCTCCAATTCTGCAGGATTAATAACACTACCAGCAATTGAATGGTTACTATTCTTTCAGTATCATGCTCCCCAAGGCCCCTCTCCCATCTTGAAATGTACCACGTGTAAGTTTGCTTCTGTATCCTGTGCTGAGGTTTCAAGCAGAGGTGGTGCGAGGGAGCTGTGCTATGTAGCCTGTCATGCTCGTTTTCTTCCAAGACCTCTTTAACAGACAGCAGAAAAACAGAACAAAGATTCTGCTACAATTGATTGTTATTCCTCTCTAAGAATAGAGCAGAGGAGAGAGATCTGGAAAAGCATTTTGATTGGCACCATCTGAATAAAGTAAGCAAAAAATGCAATTTTTTTGGTTTAAATAGAAAATACATACAACATCACTGATATTTAATCTGGCCACAGATCTAAAAATGTAAAGTGCTACATAAACACTTTTTAAATATACTTATCACAATTTCAAGGGATTCCTTCGGTTTTCAAGCTGTTTCCTTATCACCTTGTTTCATGTCACAGAGGCCTGACTACAAAATCAGGTCTTCCTCTCCTTTACTAGTTTCTTGTTTCCAGCTTTCAAAAGTGCCTTTATATCCATTATGACTTATGGGGTATTTTGTTCAGTGAGTGTGAACCAGATCTCTGTTTTAGGATAGCCAGTTTCTGGGGAAGGGAAGGCTTTGATTTGTCTGCTCCCTGAAAGGTCAAGCAGAATTGGTAGCTAAAATTATTTTATTATGTTAAAATGCATAACCCAAGGGTAATGTTTTATGGCTGTTTCTTTAGTGGCAGTGTCAGCTTCACAGCTCCTTCTCTGTCTTTATGGAGTTCCCCCTGTTGTCCCAGGACAGGTCTTTGTGTGGCCACACTGTGAACAAGATTAGAGAACTGGTTCTGCTGAAAATAACCGTTTACATACATTAACATGTTATGTGCAGTGCTGCCAAATATGTGATCACAATCTAAGAAATCAATTTCTCCATTTGAAAGTATACTAAACCTTCTGAGTTTTGTAGCAGTCAACCTCTGCTAGTTGTGCGACTAGCTTCTTCTTGTGGGGAGTTGGACTAGATGACCTTTAAAGGTCCTTTCCCACCCAAACTATTCTTAAAAATAAAACCCTCTTCCTCTGCAGTTGTCACACTGGCTCCTTTGTTCACACTAAAGCTTTCAAACCAACTCACAGCAAACATTTCATAGTTCCTTAAACTGGAATACAGTCCCTTTGAAATTCATTACCTCAAGTTTGGAGTCCAGTTAGACAATACAGTTAGCTCAGTTAGCACCTGTCCTCCCTCACCTTGATCTGGCTGATTTTCACCAGTATCACTTCTAGTTATGTGACAAAATTGGTCAAAAGCCCATTTCTGCAGCTGCACAAATAGTACAATATTTTAATTAATTTCTCCAACAGATAACCCAGCAGCAACAAAACTGTCTATGGTCAGAGCTACAGAAAAAACTGCATATTTAGTAGTGCTCTTATCTTCCCTTAAATAGTTTGATCCAGGGTGACATCTGGCTTTATATTCCTCTTATGCTAACTTTCTGTGGGCTTCGTGCATTTCAGGTTGATTACAAACATGAACTTTTTGTTTCATATGTTACTTGCATTATGTCATTGCATAATTACTGTCATGTAATTACTGGACTGCTGTTCACAACTATGGCCTTTACCTGTCCATAATAACTGACATTAGGTAAATGTACTTAGAGAATGAAAATGCATTTTTCTTTGGCAGTCATGTAAAAAAATTAACTGCTTTGCTTCTGGATGTATATTAGTTTAAGCATATATATAGCATATGTGTGTTAATTTTCAGACCTTATGGTGCTAATGAAAATGGTTACTAATTTCTGCTGAATATTATTGTCACCAGTAGAACAGTACTACCTCTCTCACTATCTCCTGCTCACATGAATGCTCTCTGTTTTAGACAGCTTAAGCATCACTGAGGCATTTTCCCAAATTGTTTAAGGTAAACCAACTGTCCACACACACGAAGTTGAGAGTAAAATGTCAGATAACTGAAGTTGTCTTACTCCTTAGCATTATGAGGTGAAATTTTCCCCTATCCAATAAAATCAGTTATTTGTCTCACTGGAAAATGACATGCTCTTTGACTGTGGGGCTCCAACCATCATTATTCCTTTAAAAATATTATCTATTTTAAATAAATAAATAAAATATGTAGAACTTGGTAATCTCCACTTTAAATCAAGAAGTCAATATTTAATTTGCCGAATATTCACTTTAAGACACAATGCCAGTTTCATATTTAGGAACTTAATGTAATAGTATTAATAATATATCAAATTAAAATCCCTGAACAATATATGCTTGCCCATCCTAATGGTTGGTTAATTATGAGATTTCTGTTTTACCTACAGTACTTTCATGTTTCAAGGCTGTAAATTAAGAAGGATAAAATATTTTGTCAGATTAAATAGCTAATATTTCAGTTTGTAGTAGAAATATCTTGTATTTGCGCTTTAATAAGGCAAAAAAGAAGTAGTGCATATAGGCAATGAAACAACAGCTGACTGGCACCATATGTCAGACTCAATGTCCCTTTTCTCTTTTTCCTCTGCACATTGTCTGTGATACTTATCCCATGCCCCAGATTTTTAGTCTAAAGATGAGGTTGATAATTGATTATACATTTCAGATGTGCATGTATCTCGTAGTTGAGAATACATTGCACATGGATTTGGTTTTAAATTGAAGATATATTGCAAGTTGGATGAGGCATTCTCATTTATTTCATGCAGCATCTGCTTGTTGAAACCTGCACAATAATCTGCACATGGAAGATTATTGCAGAAGCAAATTTGTTGATTTACATGAGGGATGTTTTCACCAGGGCTAAAGAAAAGGCTTTATATGGCTGGAAAAAACAGTGATATACAGCTGAAGCTCACATACTTCTAACAGATTAGTAGATTAATTTACAATGGCTTCTCCATTATAAATGCTGCTTCCAATTTTTAGGTGGCTTGTATTTTTTTTTAAGCTTTAAAATCCGAAGAGGATGACTACTATATTAATGGTGCCTGGACTATTGACTGGCCAAGAAAGTTTGATGTTGCTGGAACAGCTTTCCATTACAAGAGGCCAACAGATGAACCAGAGTCTTTGGAAGCACTAGGCCCTACTTCAGAAAACCTCATAGTCATGGTAAAGTTATAATAAATATATTTTTAAAATTTGAAATATGTATTTGTATTCTGAGAAAAGACAATTTCATTAATGAAATTAAAGTAGGTTGAGTGTACAAACAGTATACAAGTTATGTAGCTGGGACTTTGTGTGAGTGTTTTAACACAAGTTTCCTGCATTTCAAAACTGACTGGTAAATATTGAGATGAAATGGGGATAAAATCAGAAGAGCACCAGGAAATCTCACAGAAAATGAACCACATCTCTGTAAATGTGGTTCACAGTAATGGTAGTGAAAATTGTGAACGGGCCATGTATCATTTCTCTGCATACTGCTGACACTTGACAATCTCTGACAGTTGTGTACATTTCAGTAGTTTTAAGCATGGCCTGAGTGTGACATTTATATATATCCTTACTACACAATGAATATAATGGTATGACCCATGTTAAAATATGTTACTGTGACATACATTGCTCTGAAAAGATTTTATAAAGTATGAGAATGGAACAGAAGATATGACCAGAATCCTGATCCATCCAGGATCCTGATGCCATCTCTGACAACAGGAAATAGTGAGCCTCCTGTTCCACTAATATGTTGAAGTATGGGAATAAGTTGATATTTTCCCAGTGTATTCTGTCAGATGCCAGATTTGCAGTTCAGTGATTACTTGAACCAGAAAGGATATTTTTTTTTAGAGAATAATTGTTGCATAATTGTACCCACATTTTAGGCATCATTTTCGAACACTTGAATAATCTTTTTTTCTTCTGTAGCTTGCATAATCTAGACAGTCCATACAGAATAAGTTACACGTTACACAATTGTAGTGCCTTTTTTCATTCAGTCTGTGTCACTGACTTTCTTTCTGAAAGTTCTCTGCTCTTTTACCATGTGGAGGTAGGCAGATGTAAGACAAAGTAGAAATGGATGAAAAGTAGCTCTCAGATGAGTCAGATTGCTGCATCTAACTTGATTTTGTGCTATTAGCAATGAAAAAAAAAGTTTATTAAAAAGTCAAAGGCTATTGTTGGATAGGTAATATGTAGAAGTGCACTTCAACAGTGAGGATAGACAAAAACTTATGGTGATTGTAGTGCTTTTGTCTATGTTGCCTGCAGTGGTGTGGCTGCAGTGAGAGTTTTGTTACTCTTTTTAAGTAATCACATGTGTGATTCCACCAAGCTTATGGTGCTGGCTATTGCATTAGGGGAAACAATGGCCTCAGCAACAGTGTGTTGGTGTTACTGTTATTACTAGAAGTAATGTACTGTACTGTAGTCACTAGAAGTGCTAACAAAAGAAGATACAGGTTCAACTATGTGGATTGTACTCCTCACACGACTTCAGTTCGAACTGCTGCATGTTTCTACAGTAATGTGCTTTTCCAACTTTGACCTCCCATAATAATTCAGGTCTCAAGTTATTTTCCATGAATTTTATGAAAACTAGCAAAATTTAGAAAATTTATGAAACTAGCAAAATTATGAAATTTTGTCAGGAATAAGGAATTGACAGAAATAATGAAGTTTTGTTAAGGTAGAAAAAAAAAATAAGGCTCACCTTGGACAATAATATTTTTCTTTTGTATATGTTTTAAGAGTTAATACAGATTTTTTGGGGGGAATATCTAAAAAGAACTACCGTGACTTCCTTTTTTACTTTCTTCCCATTCAAGAGAACATAACTCATGCCAAGAATAAATGTCACTGTGTTTGCCTTCTGCTTGCTTGCTTTAATGGTATAACCAGTTGTTTTCAACTACAGATTCTGCTGCAGGAACAGAATTTGGGGATAAAATATAAATTCAATGTTCCGATCTCTCGCACTGGCAGTGGAGACAATGAGGTTGGCTTTGCATGGAATCATCTGCCTTGGTCAGAATGTTCTGCCACTTGTGCAGGAGGTAAGACTCTAGTCAAGCTACAGGATAAACTGAACTGCAAGATGCACTTCACTGTATAAGTATCTAGGTGACTAATTGAAAACATTTCTTTCAGGTATGCTTCAAATCTTAATGAACATTTATTTTAATCACAGTGGAATTTTGTTTTCAAGTACCTTTAATATGTTCAGATCTTTTTGTTAAATACAGTGTATCTTGGCACAGTGTCTCTCTGATGGTACTTCTGAGACTCTCTTGGAGGTGGTATGTTTGTTTTACCCAGAAGCTTTGTTGATAAAGGACATCAGAAGTTTTAAGTAAGGAGATTAAAAGCAAGAAGGCAAAATAGGCATCTGTAAATAAAGAGATGTGTCTTTGTATGTTATTATGCAGTTTGTATGTGTGCTTCACACAATCCTAGTCAGCCCTCCTATCCTCCAGCTACCAAAGCTTAGGATGCACAATGGCAGCTCCTCTGTAGAAGATGATGACAAATTGGATTTAACTTGCCAGCCCGTAGCAGTATGTGAGAATTGTTGCCCTTGGGCAGCAGTGGGGGATTTGTAGGTTGTCCCATGTGGTTCATCATGGGTGGCTTTTGCCGACAACTTACTATATTCCTAATCCTCCCTCTAGTGGCCACCAATGCAATTCTTTACCTCTGGCTGGGAGAGCAGGACAGTTGGCTTCCTTCAAAGCCAACACCATTGCTGCTGCAAGAACTGGTGAGTAGAAGTGCTGTGTGAACAGTATCTTTCTTCTCTCTGGAGACTGAATGAATCATCTCCCCAACATACCTCTGTTCCAGAAGATATGGGAGAGCGCTTTAAATACATCTCAGAATTTCAGTTTCTACGGCATTGTGGACAGCCCTTATCAAGAAGAAGACACCATATTTTTTTTAAAGAACCTGTGGACTTGTTGCTTTCTTTTTTTTGCTGTCTTTGGGAGGTATTCGTCATGACTCACCTTTCTGCTGGAACCTGCTGTGGTTGTTACTAGTTGTATGCAGTTTAAATACAGCCTAGCCGTACATAATACACAAAGAATAGCATAAATTCTTTTCTGTGCCACTACAGAAAGTCTTGAAACAAAATAGAGAAGGATGCCAGCTTTCTCCAACTTTTTTATTATTCATTTGTTGGATTCCTGGGTGACAGATTGATATTTAAGTACAGTTTTAATAACGGTAAGTGTGGCAGCAAGAAAAACATTTTAAAGGAAAAGTATAAAGAAGAGAAGTGCCTAGCTCATGGGGAAAGTAAGTTCCAATTATCAGAACCTTAAAGGTATTGTCAGATCCTTTTTTTTTTGTGATGGTAATGAGTTAACAATCTTTCTGAAGTCCTGGGAAGACTCCCATTGATTTAGGTAGTACTGTACTCATAAACATATACTTCATTGAAGCTATAATCCAAGTTAAAACATGTATCTGCTTTCTCCATGAGAGAACCCGCTATTTCCCTCAGTTTATGAGACACCTTTCACCGTATGCCCGAAGAAGACACAATTCTAAAGAGGTGCTGAGTCAGGAAAGAAGAAAAGGGAGACAAAGGTTGAAGAGACAGAGACTTTAACTGGAAAATTTAGCTAATATGAATATGCTATTAAATAGAGAGTAATTGACCAGGGACGATTTTAACAGGCTACCTTACTCAAAACTGCTTAAGTCTAGTTCTTTCTAAATCAGTTTATCTGTATCTGTATTGCTTAATGACTTAGTGACTTAAGTGTTTCTTAATTGCTTAGTGACTCTTAAAACAAATGGGTATTATTTTATGTAGCTACCAAAGTAAACTTGAACATATGCGTTGAGTGTCATGAAGCAGAGCATAAAGACATTGTGGCAGTGCAAAGTTTAAATAGTTTTGGAGTACTGTATATTGCAGAAGTCTCTGATTTTTTGTGCTGTTTCTTCTTCATAGTCTTTTGAGAGCAATCCACTGCATTCAGCTCTTCCTAGACCTGCTAGTATGCCTTATCTTGGAGAAGGGGGCTAGAGCAGTCAGGAATAAAGGAACAAGCTAAGAGCTGGGAGACACCTACAATATTTGACTGAATAGTAACATGCTGTCTTTTCCACTGGATTTCTATACTATGTTCTTCTCTGCTGTGCTGAGAAGTCACATCAGAACAATAAAAACGGTTTGCCTTTTCAAACAGAACCTCTCTTCTAGGGTCTGTCTCGGCTTTGAAGAATAGGAAGAGCACAGTAAGTGGAATCATAGGAAGGAGAAAAAAGGTTTCCTGTTTATGACAATTCAGTACAATGCCAGAGCTCTGGATTCCATTCCTGCCTCCTCTGTGTCTTTCTCATGGTATTGAGCAACTCAAAGCATATATTACACTCGTACTTGCTAATTATGAGTTCATTATTGTATGCATAGCCCCCCGGAATTTCTGACCTCTGAAGCATTCAAGGAAATTTCATTGTCTCATATGAAAACCTGAAATCAATGGGCTCTTCACAGTAGACATTATACATCCTGTCCCTCTGTATTCTCAATAGAATGATCTAGGAGGTAAGTTAGAGCTCATGAAAGAAACAGTTACATGTTTAGATTGCCTCTAAAAGGCAGAAGAAAATCTTATATGAGAGGCAGCCTTGGCTGTAGTGACCATGAGATTGTAGGAGTCTCTGTTGAAGCAGGTAGTGGGATTACAGCCATGGACTTCAGGAGAGCTTACTTTAACCTCATTAGGGATCTTTTTGGAAGAATCCCATGGGAAAAGGCCCTGCAGGGAAGAGGGGTCCAGAAGTGTGAATTCATATTCAAGGATCACTTACTCTAGGCTCAGGAACAATGCATCACAATGAGAAAGAAATTGGGCCACTGGTGCAAGAGACCTCTGATGATGGATGAATGAAGGCTACTGTCATTACTCCAGTATAAGCAGGAAATACGGGAGATGGAAGCAGGGTCAGGCCACCTGGAGTGAATATAGAGGAGTGGTTAGGGTAAATGCAAATGAGACTGTGGAGGCCAGTGCCTAGCTAGGCTTAAACTTGGCTAAGGAGGGTTGTCAAGCAAAAAGGGTCTTTTCAAATATATCAATAACAAAATAAATAATTAAAAAAAGATAATATGGGTTCATTATTAAATGGGGACAGTAAGAGAGGAAGATGAGAGGGCAAAGTTTCTGAGTTACTGAGTGCCTTTGCATCAGTCTTCACTGACAAGACTGGGCCTCGGGGATCCCTGACTGAGAAGACCAGGTGAAGGAATGTTGGAAGGAAAACATTTTCTTAGAGAAGGAGGATTTGGTCTCAAACAACTAGACAGACCTACTCAAGTCATGAGCCCTGATGGGATGGATCTACTAGTGATGAGAGAGGTGGTGCACACCATAACGAGGCTGCTCATGATCACCTTTGAAAGACCATGAAGATCAGGAGAGATGCTGAGGACTGCAAGAAAGGAAATGTCACCCCAGTTTTCAAAATGGGCAAGAAATAGGACCCAGGGAACTACAGGCCAGTCAGCCTCATCTTGATCCTTGGTAAGGTGATAGAGCACCTCATTTTGGAGGCCATCTCTGTCCATATGGAAGACAAGAAGGTGATCAGGAATAGTCAGCATGGGTTCACTAAAGTAATCAGGTGTTTGATTGCCTTCTACAATGAAAGAGCTCCCTGGATGGGTGAGAGGACAGCAGCAGGTATTGTCTGCCTCAACTTCAGCAAGGCTTTCAATACCGTTTCACAACATTCTCACAAGCAAACTCAGGACGTGTGAACTGGATGAACAGCCAGTGAGGTGGATGGCAGATCCCAGAGGGTCACAACTGGTGTCAGAGAGTCTAGTTAGAGGCCTGGCACTGGTGGTGTCACCCAAGGTTCAATACAGGGCCCATTTTTTTTTAACTTATTCATCAATGACTCCTCAGCACATTCACTGAGAACAAAGAGCTGGGAGGAATGGCCAACACCCTGGAGTGCTGTTGCACCCTTCAGAAGGACCTTGGCAGGTTGGAGAGATGGGCAGAGAAGAACCTTCTGAATGAAATGCAGCGTCCTGCACCTGGGGAGGTACAAGCCCAGGCACCAGCACAGCCTGGGGCTGACCTGCTGGGGAGCAGCTCTGCTGAGAAGGACCTGGGGGTCCTGGTGGACAACAAGCTGTCCATGAGCCAGCAGCGTGTCCTGGTGGCCAAGAAATCCAATGGGATCCTGGAGGGCATTAGGAGGAGCATTGGCAGCAGGTGAAGGGAGGGGATTCTGCCCCTGTACTGAGCTGTGGTGAGGCCTCACCTGGAGTGCTGTGCCCAGTTCTGGGCTCCTCAGGACAAGAGAGACATGGAGCTCCTGGAGGATGCTGCCAAAAGGGTGGATACAGACTCTTCTCAGTGGTGCCATCCAATGGAACAAGAGGCAATAGAACAAGAGGCAGAAACTGATGCCCAGGAAGTTCCACCTGGCATGAGGAAGAACTTCTTTACTGTGCAGGTGACCATGCACTGGAACAGATTGCCCAGAGAGGCTGTGGAGTCTCCTTCATTGGAGATACTCAAGAACTGCCTGGATACAATCCTGTGCCATGTGCTCCAGGATGACCCTGCTTGAGCAGGGAGGCTGGACCAGATGAGCCACTGTGGTCCCTTCTAACCTGACCCATTCTATGAGAGGTTGTAAACTGTATATATTGTAGTGTCACTTATGTTAAAGGAGAAAAGTGCACATAGTTTTTCTGCCACTGACTTTGATGCTCTCTGTACAGGGAATCAAGAAGAAACCAAATCTCCAAAGTCTGAGATCTATTTTGATAGTTTAATTTCTTTTTTCCTAAAAAGAGGTGCTTCCGATTTGCCATATAGTTAAAAAAGCTTGCTTGATGACAGACAGCTCTTACTTATCTAGGATTCCTATGCTCATATGTAAGATGAGAATATAATTTCACTGATTTTTAGTATCAGTATTTTTATTAGGCTTGAGGATCCAGAATTGCAGCTCTTCTTTTTGTACACTAGAACCTATATATTCTGTATTGAAAAATTTTCCATTGCAATACAAATTTATAGTATCTGAACTAGTTTTTTTTTTTTCCTGGGAATATTACATGAAGCTGATCTACATGTATTCTTCATATTCATTCCTTTTTTCCTGAAAGTACACTAATAACTCTTCTGTTCTGAGGCAAGGGTTTTCAGAATAAAAGTTTGTTATTATCTCATATATATATAGCCAGTGGCAAACTTGGACAAGACTAATATGAAAGCATTGCCAGAGAATACTGGAATGTACAGTGCTAAGTTATCTACAGAGAGAGGAGTGGGAAAGAAGAGAACACAAGAAAATCAGAAAAAGAATTAAAGGCTACAACAGAAGATTTTCTTTAAGGACCTGAATATTATTTAAAGAGAAACACAAAATGAAAGATGTGTAGAAATAGAAATGGAAACAATACAGTGAATTCTGTAAAGTGTATGGAAAGGGCAGTTATATCACTTGTATATCACAGAATTATAGTTTATTAACTCTTAGGCATGTCTTATAACTTTCCAAGAGCAACTGTATTACTCTGCTCAGATCCACAAGTATTCTTTATAAGGCAGTGAACTTCTGGTGGTATTGTTTAAAAAAATCTAGCAAAGCAAAGAAATAATTCTTCATGTTTTTTTCATATTTTATGAATTTAAAAATCACTCAAATAACTGCCTACTCCCTTTTTAATTTCTTTCATGCTTAATTATGGCAATAAATGGCAGCATTTATTATCTGGAATTTGCCAGTAGTCCTAAGAATTGGTTAGGATTTCATTCATTCTATTAGAGTTCATCTCCAGATGGATTAAGTATCTTAGATATTCATGGTGTTTTTTATAAAATAGTCAGCATACTATTACTATCATAAGTAAATTAATTGCTGTTTAGTTTTCTTTGCTGCTCATAACCCATCTAGAGTGATGCCTACTATGTTTTTCTTTCATGCCCTCAGATGAATTATGAAACTATCTCTAGGCAAATAAAACATACTTTTCCTCATCGAAGAAAATACAAGTTTGACTCTGAGATGAACATCTTGTGATCTGATGAGTGAGCTCAGAAAGTATGTCTGGGTTAACCAGCATGCACTAGTTTTAGTGATGCAAGATTCACTATGTATTGGTACTGGCATCTTTATAATTAACTGTTGCAATCACAAGCCACAATTTTTGGGATTGCTTTTAAAAATAGATACAGCATTTACATGCCTGCAATTTTAATTCAAGAATAAAATGTGCTCCTTGTAATTTAAAATTTGGCTGCTGAAAGTCATGCAGACTATTTGTGAATTGAAATCTGCAAAGCATTTCAGTTCTCTGGAGATTATGGTCACTAAACCACTGGGGTTTTGTTTTATATTAGGATTGCATTGACCAGCCATGAGGATATTTTATGTCTTTTATTGTAAACTAAAAATCTGTAGATTGGAAAGCAGAGTGATTCTGTTTAACTGCTTGTAATTATTCCTCTCCAGAGTTTAAATGTACGTGTTTATCTGTGCTTTTTGGATTACTTTTAAAAGAGACCATATACTCAGGGAAGAGTTCATAATTTAAAAATTTTTCAATACAGGACACAACCAAGTTGTAGTTATTGTCTAGATAAAAAACAGCACTTCTAGCTTTTTCCATGTATTTTTCTTGTCTTAAGTTATTATCTGTTATTTTTTCTCTGAGATTTTTAATAAACAACATTATAATTAGACAGCAATTATGTTAAGTTTATATACTGTGCAACAAGACGCTGCAGAACTTTTTAAAAAATGGATTTATATATCTCCTGGAATCAATTAAAGATTCTTCATTGTAAGTGAACAGGGTGAATACTGTCTTACAGGTGATATGCTACCTAAACATCTTTCAGTAAATAACACACTTGCAATTTTTTTTTAAAGCTGAGCACACTGATGCTTTGTGATGATAGAAATTTAGAATATTTTCTTATTACAAAATTCCTCAAAAATTAATTTGTTAAAAGTACCTATTTTAGTCAAGTTCCAGAAGGAAAGATATCTGATGCCAGTAGGAAATTCATTAAAAATATAAAATTAATATCAATGCTATCCAATAAGTACACTTGTGAGAATGGCATGCATTATTAGAATGTTTAGTTCTGAAGTGTGTATAAATTATTTTTAGCCAAATATATTTGAGGAAAATATCAGTATGATATTCAACCTATATTATGATATTCAAGCCTATTCAACCAAGAGAATTAAGGCAGTTTGTGATAGAAAGGATAAATGACTAGTCAGAACTGAACATGAATTGTATATCAGCTAGCAGTGCCGTGTTACTAGCATTGCTGTTTGTCTAGAGCTGTTAAATACTGTTTCTTATTGTGGTGAAATGTGAGCAGAAAATTGCTAGGAATATTCCTACTTAGGTTGTCGGGTCTGATTTGAATTACTACCATCTGTTGGCAGTTTTTGCATTGATTAGAGAATTCAAAGTGAATCTTGTCACAGCTTCTCATGTATTTAGATCTTTCACTTTTTTTTCAAGAGCCAAAGGAGGATATCATTTCCTTCTACAAGGGAAGGCTGAGAGAATTGTGTTTGTTCAGCCTGGAAAAGAGACAGCTTAGGTGTGACCTTATTGCAGGCATCTGGTATCCAAAGGGAGACTACAAAAAAAGACGGAAAGGGACTTTTTTTAAGAGTATGCAGTGACAGGATAAGTGGGAATGGCTTCAAACAGAAAGAAAGCAGGTTTAGAGCCCAGTGAAGTTGTGGATGCCTCAGTCCTGGTACTGTTAAAGGCAAAGCTGGATTGGTTTTTGAGCAACCTGGTCTGGTTTAAGGGTCCCTGCCCATAGCCAGGGTTTTGGAACTGTATGATTTTTAAGGTCCCTTCCAACCAAATTTATGTTTCTATACTTGTGTTGAAATGAATAAATGGCTGCAAGGTAAAGTTGGCAGATATTTGAAGCCAGGAGGTTTTAATCCCCATTTAATTGTATGCATTTCACATTTTGGAATAAGATAAATAATTTCTTCTTTTTTGAAGAAAGGTACAGGGCTTTTTGAAGCTTTTATATTGCAAATATACATTATATGCATTTATATTACAAATGCTACTATTTTCGTTTTATAACTATTCATGTTCAATAAAAACTGCATGTGAATTGCAAATGCACATTTTTTCTAATGCTAACAAATGTCTTAAAACATGTTTTTAAGAGAGGAGGAAGGCAGTGTATATTGCTTTTTGCAACAATACACTGTCATCATATCAGTGGTTCTTTACTGCTTTTTAAAAAGAAAAAACAAACAGAAAATATGCTTAATAAACCACTTTATAATATTGCCTTGGCAGTGATAAACCATGTTTTGTGGATAATGATGAATTCTAAATTACCCTGTTGATGGTTAACAATGAAAGAGGAACTGGAAGTGCCGGGCAAAATGAGTATTAATAGAGACACAAACTACCTCTTTCAGAATGAGTTATAGTTCTCTTACTTTATTGAAAAAAAATTGTAAGATAATGTATGATAATGCCACACTGTTTCCCAGTATTGCTGGTTTGTTTTAAACCAGAGCACATAAACAATAATTCTGCATTGAAGTGTGACCACATTCTATTTGGTGATATTTTCTTTGGAAGTTTAAGTGTCTTTACTAGGAGAGGATGACAGACAGAGGATGGATTTTGTGCAATATATAAATAAAAACAAACTTCTAGTAAATCTATAAATATATTCGCTTTCTTTTTGAAAACAACCTAATCTTAAATTCCTCTCTGAGTGAGGTAACCAAAAATCGAAGGAAAATTTAAAAATTATTGTGACACTGCTATAGACTTTGGCCAAATAAAGTGGGATGGTAGAATTAATAATCAGTAGGTGAAATACAATTATACTCAAAAAGTAGAAGAGCAAGAATGATTAATTAATGGTCTTTCATTTCATCCCAAGGTGTCCAGAAACAAGAGGTGGTCTGTAAAAGGCTGGATGACAGCTCCATTGTACAAAACAATTACTGTGACCCTGACAGTAAGCCTCCAGAAAACCAAAGAGCCTGCAACACTGAGCCTTGCCCACCTGAGTAAGTCATTAAATCACTTAAGATGGACATCTGTTTTGCACAGAAAGAAAAGTCTTCTTAATCTGTAATAAATCCTGCTAACCAAAGATATATAAAATTCTCATCTAGTATTCATGTCCTGTCTTATCAGAAAGGGTATTTAGGTTTGGTTTTTAGTTACTTGTTCCTCTAAAACAGCTCTGAAAAATGCATTGAGGGGCTCTGATTTGACTGAAGAATAATAGTGATGTTTGAACTACACCAAACAGTGTCAGTAAAAAGATCCTAGCATACCAGCTTCTTAGGATCTGAGTGTCATATGCAGTGAGTAGTGCATTGAGTAGAGCTGGGGACCATTCTTAAAGCAACAATGATAAAAGAATGTTGTGGTAAGACTTAACTTTACCGTAGTCATTAATATTGCATCTGAAACGCTTGCCATAATTTAAAGGATGGTATATTAACATTTGTGTTGAAATGTTCACACGAGAAGTGACAAATATAGACACTTCTAAGCAGACCAAACCGTGACTTGGTAATAGTTTTATCAAACTTTTTCTCCAGCATATTCAGCGTTGTACAGTAATGCTGTGTGCCTTTAGGATTAGGTGATTAGATTTTGTTTAGATTTATTGTTTTAAGATAGCTGTATGCTATATATTGATATATTGATAATTAAAAACCCAGCAGCTCGTTTGATCAAAAATGAAGTTTGGCAATAACATATAGCATAGCTTAATCTTGCTACAAAACCTGTTTAAAAACAGTTGTGATATTTTGTACTAGAAAATAATATCAGCAAGCGAACAACAGCTTTTCTTATGCTTTGAGACAATAAAACATGTGGAACAGATAAAACAGTTTATTGATTCCCAAGCTCTGGTTAGTTTGACTTTGGTGATAATCTCTAGCTGTATTCCAACTGGGTATGAAAATCATTAACACTGATTAAAACCAGATACTGCACAATACTGTAGGCACCTGTAAATGCCTCTTAGAACCTGTTAAATTGTAGCAAGAAGGACACTGTTAGGAGTAAGACAAGATTATTATGCATTAAAATCTCAGCAGGTCAGTGAAGTCAGTCTCTTCAGTTGGAGTATCAGCTGCTTCCCTGGCGTGGTGCCTGGTTGCTGGATGGCAGAGCAGTGTCTCTTATTCATCCTGCTGTATCGTGTAACACTCAGCCAAGTGAAGTCATTGCACTGCTGTTACCTTTGAGTGTGAACGAGCTGTGTCACAGACAGGTCTAAATTAGGTCGAAATCACTGTCCCCACAGCATATGCGGAAATATATGTTTATCCTGGAAAGATATACATTTGTCCTCTGTTTGGATAACACTGTTTGGCATGGCTTTAAGTGCACCAGCTATGTGCACCCAAGAGCAGGACTTGAAAAGCAGTCATGTTTGATCATTTCCTTTCTACCAAACACATTCCAATCCCTTGCTTTGTGTGGCTTAGCTATTAGCAAATTAGCATTTTAAAAAGTGATGTCAACAAAGTTATTCCAAACCAGTTTAATTTTGGGGGTCTTTTTGTTGTTTTGTTTGGTTTGGTTTTTTGTTTTGGTTTTTCTTTTCACTAACAATATTTAAAAGACTCCCACAAACTAACAAAACCCAGCCCACAAAGTGGAAAGCTTTTGGATTCTCCTTCCAGTAAAACAGAGACATTGATGAACATGGTGAAAGTCAAGACATCAATACTCAGAAAATGGATAGAGTGTATTGGTTAGCATCTACTTCAACATGTCAGAGCAGTTCAACCCATATTTGCCTCCATTCTGATATTCCCCATGGAGTGAATTCAAAGTGCCAAACTAAGGAAAGGTTCTCAATTCCTTATTCTGTAAGTAGTCTAGTAGAAGGCTGCTCAAGTAACAGATAGTCCAAAGAAGTGTGACTGTTTTGACAGAAAGTTTTATCATGCAGTAGGACTTGGTGTTTACATGGACTGGCCAAATATTTCCCTTTTTAATTAGCACACGTCTACTCTTCTCATGGTGTATACCAAAAGCAATGAAAATTATACTCTTTCTAACTGAATGCCAGTTACATTGTATCTGATATTTTTGACCAGAAGATAATGTTTGTTTTCAATACGTTGTTTGTTAGTACAGTAAGTATCTCTTACATTTCAGATTTCAAGAAAATTCTCTTACAGTTCTATGAATTATGAATAGTGCTATCTTGTAATACAGTATAAATATTAATGGTACCTGAGAGCAAAGTCACTTGAGCAAATCATAGTACCAATTAAAAATTAACACTACAGCCTCTTGAAAGCTCTGAAGAGCTTCAGATTCTCCCTGTTGTGGTAAAAGCATAGGATTTTTTGATGAAGAATCGCAAATTAATTTCCTTTTGCTGGGAAAGTAACAACAGAATTTGGCATAATTGTTTCCATCTCTGTGTTGATCTAGTTTCATGTTAGGATATATTACACATAGTATAACAAAAGAGGATAGCAGCGCTTTTTATTTGACAGCAGCTTGAGAAAATGGCAGATCTTATGAAGCAGCTCCAGGCATACCTCCAGGAACATCCACAGTGACTGACATGCCTGGCATTTTTGGCATGTTGGCAACATGTGATAGCAAACTAGAGTTCAACTTCATCCTTTACAAGGATGACTCAGGCGAGTATCTAATCAACATATTAAACACCAAATGTACTCATCAATATGAAGAGATATTTCTATTTAATTGAGCTGCAGTAACCACTCATAAGTAGAAATATATAACATTACAGCGAGATTAATAGCTGCTTCAATCTCTGCAGCAGCACAAAGCAATCTAGTACTATTTACAATTCTTGGTTTCTACTGTGTACGCAGAAACACTCGGACGTTTCCTCTAGCACTTATTGTACAATTTTTTAAATTTTAAAGGAGTTTGTCGAGATGATTATTTTTATGAGTGTTATTAGTGTGTGCTTCAGTTTAAAAAATGAGAATATTTTACATTGCAGTATAGCCGTTTATTAAAAAGTTTACAAATGTCTCGCAATCAGGTGAGAATTAACTCTTGAAAAGCCCAATTTTGAGATCAAATTATTTTAGTAATTATACTAAAGAGGCTAACATCTTGGCTTTTAACTTGTGATGTAACTTTCAGCAATGGTTCCCAAACATTTCCAGTTGCAAACCACTTTCACAGAAATTATTTTAGGTAAGTCCGGTACAAACCTACATAAATAGCTTCAGTTTAGTCAGGCTCAGATGCTCTTTTCTAACTACTATGGGCTAGGATAGAAATTGCTGCTGTAGAAAAATGCAAAGTAGTGTTATTATTGGAAGATGTAATTGCAGTGAGGTGTGAATTAAAATATTTAGTAAAAAGACCCATAAATTTCTACTGTATTTCACTATGAATGTGTGTATTGTTAAAAATTACTTTGGTTTAGTGATTTAAACTATTTGCATTCTTGGTGTGCGCAGTTACCAATTCTTAGTGAAATGTATTAACTGGGTTTTGTATCCAGATGGTTTATAGGGGATTGGTCGGAGTGCAGCAAGACCTGTGATGGAGGAATGCGTTCACGGACGGTTCTGTGCATCAGAAAGATTGGTCCTTCTGAGGAGGAGACGCTGGATGCTGCCAACTGTTTAACACATCGGCCCATTGAAAAAGAGCCCTGCAACAATCAGTCCTGCCCCCCACAGTGGGTTGCTCTGGACTGGTCGGAGGTAAGGAAATTCTGCTGTGTATTAACTGACTGGTTATAGTGGAGGCAGGACCTCTGACCACTGAATATTAGCACATTTTCTGTCAGGACTTGGTAAGTAAAGGATTAGTAAGAAAATATTAAGAGGATGTTTCACCTGTGCCTAATTGTTTTGTTTCCTGCCTCTTCTGAAAATGCCCATAATCTACAGCATGTCACTATACCCAAAATTAGCTTCTCTCCCACAGATATCACATTCTAGTTACCTAAAGTAGTTGTACACTCTGTTATCATATCCAGGTTTTTATGCAGCAAGATCATGTAATGATTTTGAGCAAAGTCATTCTAATATAAAGATTCAAACTCCACTTAGCTTCTGGTTGTGATAATTAATCAGGACTGTGAAAAAGTGCCAGGCTTCTTTCTGGCATGAATTTTATTTGTGTAGTTTGGCAGACTGTCTTGACTGATGATACCATTTTGATATAATGAGAATAGTTGCTTTTCTTTTTTCCTTTCATGGTTTCTAGAAATATAATAGAATACATAAAAATCCCTATAGTACTATAAATGTAAACATTTTTATATGTGTGTTTATATAAATTTCTGACAGAAGCATGGAAAGGAAAACAAGAGTGAACTTAAAAAATGAAGAGTTGAATACTCCTCCCATTGAAACCAATGGCAAACCTTGCTAATTTTCTCTGGAATGCAAGTTATGAAGTTTTCTTTTCATACTTAAAACAATGCATAATGCACATAAAACAATTATAGAATTGTTTTATCTGCTTATGCACTTGTTGACAAGCAATATAATTACACATTTTTAAAAATTTCAGTGAATATTAACAAGAAATTATGTATCTTTTTGGTCAGAGAAACAAAAACATTTTGTTAACGTACTGGTTAGATGAAGTCCTTAGGAGAATGTAAGCGTGGTTTTATGAAATTGAAATGAAAACTAAGGATGTCTTTCCCACAGGAATGTAGTCATTCCTAGGTAATACCATAAGGTTTTTCACACTTTGTTATAATTGGGCTTTGGCAGAATTAATCTACCCACTCTAAATTACTCCTTTTATATTCTTCAGGACAATTATAAAAAATATTCTTAGGATTTTTTGGGAAGAGCCTTATGAGACAAGCATATATAATTGGGCTTCATGACTTCCACAGAGGGAGTCAGAAATTCTAGAAGTATGTAGTAATGGAAGATAATTTTTCCTCATTTGGTTGATCTGGATATTTTGTTTTCATTTTGTTTGGAAACATACAATCTTTTTGTTAAATTTTACTAATGTTTTTTATTTTTAGTGATTTCATTATTTCCTTATTTCACTTCCATTTCGGATATTTAGTGTAGTCCATCTTAGTATAATTTTCGCTGTAACTCCATAAAGGGAGTATAGGAATGTTGTTTTTTTTCTGGTACTCACAGCTGAAAGAAGGGCTTTCTCAGATGGTGTCTTACACATGGATTAAAGATTGTGTCTTCAAGCAGTAGTAGAAGGAAGATGCTCCTAAAGTCAAAGTTTAGTCCTCAGAGTCCTGTTTGCTAACATACTCTAAAGGTTATGAAACCACATTGGGTTTTGACATTTTGACAAAGTCCTTTCAACATTGTCATTTTAATGTTTGTTTTGACAGACTGATGTGATTTTTAGGCACTCAGCTGGGATGGGGCACATAGTTCTACTTCCTACTTAAAAGTCATACCTTTTGCATGAAATACATGTGGGAGAGAGTACTCATAACACTCCTTGGAGTTTCTACCCCAGCTAGTCAGTCATGATCACGACGTCGAAGACCTCACATGTTAACTCTCATTGGGTTTTGGTCCCTATTTGTCATTAGTATTATTTGTGTAGTTCTACCAGAGATCTTCTCTTACTTCCCTCCTTCATCTAGTTTTCTAGTAGGCAGCGTGCACAAGATTTGGTGTTGAAGTCCCTTCAGTGTAAGAACGTTTGCAACTGTTTATTCTGTATCAAAATTCTGAACACTGAACTACTGTAGATGAAGAGGCTGTACCTCGGTATAAAAAGACTGAGTAGGATAGAAAAGAAAAGGTTACATTTTAAGGAAAATGATTATATATCCATTTTGCATTCTGGATTATTAAATCTAAATGCAAGAGTCATCTTCTTGCAGCTCACTTTGAGATCCTTAATCTAAGTGGAGATAACATTTGGAATAAACCTGTTCATTCCATATGAACTAGCTTAGGTGCCTCCCTCTGGAGATCTTGTTTTGAGGTGTATGTAGATATAAAGTTTTACATGTTCATAGGGTATATCCTTACATAATACTGTGGAACTACTTTAAAATTTCTATAAGTTACTCAAAGATACTTCAGGATTAGGCATGAAACAATGAAGTTTGCACCACTCAAGTAATTTTTAAAAAATAATCTTAGGGGTGATTTTTTTCTTCCCCCCAGTGGTATAGTGAGTAGTTTTGGGTGTATGGAAAGCTCTGTGGTATGTGACCTCTTGAATATTGCTCCACATCCACATAATGTTGTTTCCCAAATAATGTTTTGTCTCTATATATTAAAGGCAGTTCCTGTCTTGAACAGGTTAGCATAATCTGCATGTAATCTGCATCTGATAGTTTGTGCTGTCAGGAACTGATTCTGATCCAAATACTGCAGATATGCTTATGGAGTAAAGGTTAACACACCAATAGAGGATTCTAAAACCATGCTTATAATATCTCATGTTAAAAAAGGACTGATTTGGGAATGGACTTGCGTTTTAATTTTGTTAACACTTGTTCTCTTCCTCATTCTGCAGCTGAGCTACTGTGTATGACACAGTTAATGGTCAGTAGCAAAAAGGAAAGAGAAAGGCACTGTGAGGAAAAACAGTGATCATCAGGCCTACTTTTTTTCAAGTGGCTGTTTTATTGTCTGCTTGCTGTCAGAATAGCACATGAGTGATAAAAGGAGGGAAAACTGTGAAATCAGAATTAACATTTGAATAGGAAAGGAGAGGAAAGCATGCACTGTCAGAGAGGGTACCATATTTTGACATATCTGAATGATATGGTCTCTATGAATTCAAGTACAGCATTTATCTTTCCTTTTGTGTATTTAGGAAAAATGTGTTCATTGTCCGAGGATAAAGTGAAATGGATAAAGACTGTACTAAGGTGATGTTAAGAACAGACAGTCTTATTTTTAATTATTGATATACTCAAATTTGTTTCGTGATAGTATTACACATGGCAGACCTTTCTACTTTGTAGCAGTTTTTCTTAAACCTAACATAAATACTAACACTGTAGCCTAAATATAAACAGCAAAGAAAATCTAAAACTTAAATAAGCTTATACATAATAAGACAATATTCAGTTAGCTTGTTTGTGTTTCTAAACATTTTAAAATTATTATTCTGTGTTGTGATTGTAATTGAATTTTAAGTTCATGAATATATTGTCCATCTTTACAAATAGCATTTCTGAGAGTTTTATTGGCATATTACTGAGATTTTAATTATTTATTTACATGAACTTTTTTTTTTTTTCCAGTGCACACCAAAGTGTGGCCCAGGATTCAAGCACAGAATTGTTCTGTGCAAAAGCAGTGATCTTTTAAAAACCTTTCCAGCTGCACAATGCCAAGATGAAAGCAAGCCGCCAGTGCGCATCCGCTGTAGTCTGGGCCGGTGTCCTCCTCCTCGCTGGGTTGCTGGAGACTGGGGACAGGTGAGATAGCTCCTGTCAGTCTCCCGTATTAGCACCTCTTGGGCTAAGACGTCCCTGGAGACAGATAAGAGATGGCTCCTACGGCTGGGGAAAACAAAAGGATTCTCCCCTTTTGTATATATGTATATGTATATGTATCTGAATATATATCTGTCTCTGAAAAAAACATACTTTGAGGTCAATATAATTTTTTGCATAAGATACATTGAGTTACCATACAGGAAGCTAAATTACTCCAGGACAGGCTGAATAATGCTGCCATTATGAAGTGCGTCTAAATATGATTTACTAAGTTTCCTTCTTTCTTTAGGTTTTGCATCTCATTAGTGATCAATGGCCTGCTTTTAGAATATTAAATAAATTAATAATTTTCTTTTTGCTGAGCCATTTTCCTCTAATAAAAATGAAACATTTTAGTTTAATTAACCAGTGGAAAATGATTTGTGATATTACAGTCTAGTTGACTTTTTAAAATGGTGGTTCTTCAGATCCACTTTTATATTTAACTAATATTGTACTAAAACTGTAACTATTTAGTTACATAAATGAAAAATGTTTTAAACAGCAAAGTCTATGTGTTTAAAAGATATTTACTTTTCCTTAAAAATAGTCCTGTAGAAGATTTGAGTTCTTGTTCTCTTTCTTTTTCTTTATTCTAAAGTGTTAGTATGATATATGAAATAGAGTAAATCATATTCCTACATCTCAAATCTGAACTGTTCGGGGAGTCAATATTGCATTGCATTTTCTTTTCTTTGAAAGACAAGTACTCACATATGTTGTAAAAAATTCTGGAATATTTTATGATAATTCTTTTCTCTATTATTGAAACCTCTTCAGATGCCTGTCTTCTTTAAAACTTGTGGATGTGAAGTGTTTCTGATTGCTTCCTGTTGCTTTATTTAATATTTTAAAATTGGATGCAGGATTTTAAATTTTTTTTCTTCTTCTTTAGTGTTCTGCACAGTGTGGTCTTGGGCAACAGATGAGAACAGTACAATGTCTCTCATATACTGGACAAGCATCCAGTGAATGTCCAGAAACTCTCAGACCTCCATCAATGCAGCAGTGTGAAAGTAAATGTGACAGTACTCCAATTTCCAACACAGAGGGTAAGTCTGCCATCTCAATGTAATTTATTCTGAAAAGAGTGAAGTGACATAATCAGCATTACTGCATTGGTAAAAGTCTATATGGCATCATCTCTCAGGCTGTGAATGACTTTTTAAAAATTATTTTCCAATTAGTCATTTTAGCTCAATGGTAAAGTCAATGAAAATCTAAGTACACATTGTTCAAAAAAATACCCGTAAAAATTTATAGCCTAAGTCATGGACAAAATACTACTGTTTGTGTCACTGATTTTTTAATCTCTTTATTGGTTCAATGGCAATGTTCATAATAGCAGGGCGAGCATGATACACTTTTCATCCACTGACGTTCTACCTGCCTAATCAATGTTAAACACAACAATGTGGTGGAAAAAATAGTAAATTCCATGTTCATTAGAAGACTGGGACCATAGATTTCATGCTACACAGTTCTTGTAAGAACTCATCTGTTCTTACACTTTGATATCCTTTAAGCTTCTTCTAACTAACTTGTAATTTTTTTTATTTATAATGTCTGTTCAAAATAATTATAATTATAGTATTTTTGCATTTTACAGTCCAGTTTAATCAGATTATTAACTAGCTTCATCATAGCATATTTTTGGTAGAAGATATATGAGATAATATTGTGAAAATAAAAATATTCCCATTTATTAAATACTTTGGATCTGAACTTGTAAGTGGTCTAGGCCAAACTCTTAGGAAATGCTGACATCAAAGTAAACTTGGAATGCTAAGCAGGAAAAAATGTTTCCTCATTGATTATAAAATTTATATTAGTTGCTCATTAGATAAGTACAGTTCATTTTGTGTGGGAGGGGAAAAGGAATAGAAAGTTCTCCAAACTGTCAAGAGATTACACAGCAGTCCTTCTAAAAGACATATTCCCTAAATTTTTATATTCCCTAAATTTTGAGTACTTGACTGCAATGTTTCTAGCACTTCTGTTTTTAATGTAACTAATCTCTGTGCAGTATATAATTGAGTATTTTTTACACAGAATCTCCTATCACACTGGAGTTTAATGTCCTGTTTATATGGAACAAATGCTCTGATTGAAATTTTTTTAAAGGCAGGTTTGTCCTGCAGTCAACCATATCTGGTGGTCAGCCAATGCCTACTCTATCCATCAATGCCCATGCTGTAGATTCAAAATTGTTATAGAAGTCTGGCAAATAAAACGTCTGTGATGAAATGGGAGCATACTAAAATTGTCCCAGAAATACACGGATAGTCCAATGTATGAGCACTGTAATTCACTATTTTTAGTAAAGTTTTAATTTTAAGTAGAGGCTTGTCAGCTAATGCTGTCATTTGAAAACCTCTTCATACTAGAATTTGTCTTGGTTATTTTAATTTGCATTATTTCTGTTTAGTGCTCTCAAGAAATCTTTAAGTGATAATTATCAATCTAGGAAACTTTCTGCCTTCTAAATCTCATAGGTTACATGATATTTTATTTCCAAACACCGACATTGACTTCAGTCCAAAGTAAGGAAGGTAATAAATTAATTATAAGTAGACATGATTCAGTCCCAGTCTCCTTTTAATTTCCAGATGACAAGGTCATATTGCTATTTATAGTAATTACACTGGTAATTCTCCAGTATTACCAGAAAATATGCTAGTCTCTTACAGAAGAATGCAGTCAAGGGTTTTCTGTGCGTGATCTCTGTACACTGGGTGGCCTGAACTTCTCTACAGTAGAATTGTGGGGGCTAGCTATGTGCAGTGAGTCTGTTCGGAATTGTGTTTTTAGGGACCCACACCTTCACTGGAAAATTTTTGGGATCCACAAATAGAAAATTTTGGAAAACACTTATACTGTATTCCAGGTGGTTGTCCGTTCTTTGGCCTGCACTGTGAGAGGACCAGGTGCAAGCCAGCTCCTTACTGACACTCATCCAGGCTCATTAACAGGGTTAGGAAGACTCAAAGGGAAAAAGATACAGCACAGTATCTTCTGAAGGATACAGTTCCCAACACATTGCCACTTAGTGTCCCATTTTTGTTTATGTCCCACACTGGAGGTATTTATCTCAAAATTCATTTAATGGTTTAAAAAGCTTAAATCTTTAAGTAGAATTTTACTGTAATCTGTGAAAGACTAAGGTTTCCCTATTTTCAGGGCACTTTCTCCCATACTTGTACAAATGTTTCTTATATGTATATTCCAATTCTTAAAACTTTTACAGCTGCTCTTAAATAGCGAATACAAGAAACACAAATGGGATTTGAAGAGTAGGGTGCGCGTTTGACACATTTTCTGCTTTAAAAAATTCCTCTTAGACACAAGAGGAGCTGACATCTCTTTGTTCAGTAAAGTGTCAGCTTTTAAACAGAAAGGCATATCTTTTTCACCATCCAAGAGATGATGGAAAGATTTCAAGAGCTAACTAACCCTAAAGACCACAACTATTTTTGTTCAAGTAGTAATTTCTGGGAGAAATTTTGGAGCTCTGATATTTCATCATGAATGTATTTGTGAGTGGCGCATGTTGTGCCTCTATGCTGGCTTCTGTCACTCTGCAGGTACAGTGGAATGTGATCTATCAGTATTTGGGTTACCAGGAAGGAGTCAGGTGTCCCAGAGAGAGGGTTTGCCCACATGGGAGTGCATGTGTGTAGCAGAGCATACCTGCCCACATATGGGGACTTTGTCTATATGCCCCTTGTAGTGCTGCCTTGTGCTTTGGGCTCCATTGTGGGGCAAAAACAACTTCAGCAGCAGCACACGGGTTTGCACTGGTCAGATTATCTGGGGGGGGGCTCTCTTCCTGTTTCAATCCCCCACCAACCTGATTCCCTTTGCTTGCTGAACACCTGTGCTCGCAGACTACGGAGCTGTTCAACAATTTCTTAGCAATTTTATTTTGCTACCCAAAGATAAAATCATACAGGGTTTTGAGGAAACTTGAACCACTCTGCAGTATAATGATCATATTGGTAAAGTGTGGAAAATTTTTCTTTGGGAAAGTACAGAAGTCTGCATGAAGCAATAGTCAAAATTTTCGGGATACAAAAATACTAAAAGAAAGTTACATTGGATCTTGTAATATTTTACATGTGCTTTAGCTCTGCAGTTTTCAAACTTTTCATTGGTGATTTAGAATATTGTCCATGTGGTTTTGCATTTTCTGCTGGAAGTGAACCACAGGCATCATCTACCACACCACTTGAAATATATTCAGAATTATTCTGTTGTCTTAAATACATATGTGTATGCTGAATCTAGACTGCTGAAGCCCATTTAAAATTTTACCTGAAAGACTATTTTTTTCTATTTTTATGTCATTTCAGTTTTTCTTGTATTTTATATAATACATCTTAGCAATTTATTTAGCTGGAGGCATAGTGACAATTTGTGTTTTTTAAAAATCTAAACCGATAGTTAATATCATAATATCACCTAATCTAGCCACAAAGTTCAGCAATGCAGAGTTTGTAAATGTAGCTTACTGAAACTTACTAACACTTGTTACTAGCAACAAAAGGAACTCTGCTAAACCTTCTCCATTCAACCACAGTCCAATGAAGAATAGGCTACTTCATCAGCCACCATATCTATTTCAAAATTTATTTTTAAAACAGAAATTGTGGGGAACTTCCAGAATAGTCTCTCATTGCTGTCCAAATGGCATCAGCTGAACAGGGTCCAGTTTTACTCAAGAGAAAGAATAACTTAAAAGAAACATTAAAAAGGATCATTCGAAATCCTACTTTTAACAAAAATACAGTTAGTGGCTTTACTTGTGTTTAACTAAACACAGTGTGTTTGAGGGTTATTTTTGGGACTGAGTGAAGTTTTTATGTCTTGTTAGATGAAGTGAACCTTTTTATTTTTCACTTCATTTATAATTCACCATCTGTCTCTCCTATATTCCCAGTCTTCACAAACATGAGGACCTGAAATATTTCTGGAAGAGACTTGACCTCTTTTGTGAAGAGTTTTTGAAAGTCAGTCAAATACAGTGACCATGTGTGGTTGCCAGTAGAGAAATATATCTGTTTCAACCAGCTACCCACAATGTCTTTTTTTCTGTCATTCAGTTTTGTTTCCATGAAGAATTAAAAAATTCGAAAAGTAGTATGTAAACATCGTGTAGGTGGAGTGAAAGAATTGCAATGGAAGTGCTATGTCTGTGTTAATGAAATTAAAGTTTAAATAATTTCCTAACTGCTCCTTGCTTAGCTAAAAGCATGTGCATATATTACCATTATCAGAAATACTGGTCAGTACAGACCTATAAGTTCAGCCTCATTAATGCTTTCCTAGGTTAAAATACTAAAAATTCTCATCTGCATTCAATTTGCTACTCCAGTTTGGTTGCAAGTGTTAATCCACTATCTATAACACGCTGTGCCAGAGCAAGAATAATGCACTAGGAGATTATATGGAGACTGACCAGGTGTAGAACCTGAGTGTATCACTGAGTTCTCAGATGTAGCTCTTTCTCCAGCTGTATCAGGATAAGAACTGATACAAACTATCCCATTCCCCATGCCCACTTTCTTTCTGCAAGTGTGAAAAATGAGGCAGAGGAGAACTCCAGCTCCTGTAATGTACCCACAAAGTCACTTTATGTGCAACCTGTGTGGGGTGCAAAAGAATGAAACCTTCCTCCATGAGGTTGAACTCTGTTCTCCCTTCCTGGGAAAGCTACTTGCCAGCACAGCAGGGCAGCTGAGGCAGTAAGCCCAGCATGTAGGGAAAACACAACTTTGAAAATAAGCTTTTACATCTATTACATGCACAAAAACGGCTTTCCTTCTTAGCATAAAATAAATTGTGGATGTGTGGAACCAAGCCTCAAGTATAATTCACCATTCAGTTTGGTCACTGAACCACCATGTTGGTAATATTATTCGTAACATTTGTGTAATTTTCTCCATCCCTGTTAGCTGCAATGCTCATTCTGTTTTAGGGATTCTTACAAATGCATAGTGTGGTCTCAAATAGTGTGAATCATTATAATGATAACCTCTCATGGATGAATAAATTAACTCCTGAGAAGAAAGTTAAAAATAATGTGAAAAAAGTCCCTCACATTTTCTAACTATGTAAAGTGATCACTTATTCCAATAAATGATAATTCTTCCAAGGCAAATACTGCTCACTTCTAAATGTCTGAAAGCCCTGCAAACAATTTTTTTGCTTTTTAAATTTGCAATATTGTATGCACTAGACTAGAAAGAGTAGAAAGAACAAACAAAGAAAGCAAGATAGATGGATAGAGAAGCATGTTAAACATCAAATTTTCTTTGTACTTTAATTTATATTTCTGATGTTTTTTCTCTTTAATGTTCTTAATTATTAGAGTGCAAAGATGTGAACAAAGTGGCATATTGCCCACTGGTGCTGAAGTTCAAGTTCTGCAGTCGAGCATACTTCAGACAGATGTGCTGCAAGACCTGCCAAGGACACTGACCCACAGGAAGCAGAAGAATGTGCCTTGTTATTATCGTTGTGGAAGAGTGTCCATCCAAGAGAGCCACACAGCGGAATGAGATTGACGTCCTTGCAAATGCATTACCCTGTGGAAAACATAACCACTGGTCAGCCCCAGCTGACAGGATTTCAATATTATTTTAACTTCTGTGAAGTGGGATTTATTAATCCAAAGTGCTGGACACAGTATGAGGGGATCCCAAATTTGAAAGATTCACACAACACATATAGAATAGCTTACTGTAGAACATTTGTGTTCTTTTGACTAAATCCAATAGTCTGTTTACATCCTTGGACCATTAAAATAACTTTTATTATGGACTTAGCAATGACACTGAATCCATTTCTATTTAAAACTGTTTAAAATATAGTTCTTATGAGTTGGTCTACTATGGAAGTAAAGAAGAATCAAAAAAAAGAGTTAAGTCATAGCTTAAAAATCTTAACTATTTTATCTCTTGACACAGCACCACAATTTAAATTATAAAATGAGCTTGGAAATGTTATTTAAGGAGCATAAATTTTTTAGAAAAAGAAGTATTTTTCCTTCATTCCACCTATTTCCCTTTGGAGTAATCCATATTTCCTGAACACTGCTGTGAGCCATATATAAAGCTATACTAAATAGAGCAACCATGAGGGACTTAGTTTTAAGAGGTGCAACAGTTATTGCAGTGGTGCATGAAATACAAGTGTGCTATGAAACAAAATGAAATCTTCATTGCAGGTTTATAGCCATCTTACCATTGTACAAGTGAGACAGATTTCCACTGAAAGGAACATATTTCAGTATCATGGGGGAGGCAGACTCCAGCAGTGGTGAAGACTGGATTGCCAGTTCCTTCGCTACCACCATAAAAGTTGTTTAGGACTTACACTTTGACTCCAGCTCACTTTTGTTTACAACACCAGCCACAAAGAAGAAACACCTTTGTGGGTTTCTAGATCTGGTTTACATGTTAGCTTTGATTCTCCAAAACTGAGGAATTTGAATGCAAAAGATAAGCCTACTGTGTAATAGCAACAATCCTTTGCAAAGCTGAAATTTAAAATGGATTCCAGATGTTCCCTCCTTTGATACCATAGCAAAGGTATTGTTTATGAGAAGGAATATGTGAATGTTCTGTTCAGGAGACTGCATCTGAGTGGCAAAGATTGCAACCAAAGAGTAAGTGACTCATGGAGGTATCTAGGTTCTGTTCAAATGAAAAGTCAAAAGTGTGCTCGAGCCAAGAGGCCGGTTGGATGTCAGGAGTAAGGCACACTGGAAAAGGGGTGGCTGTAATGAATTCTGGCCCCCTTCGCCTAAATGGCCAGGTAGCTATGTAAAGCTGGACAATATTTAAAGCAAGGGGAAGCTTTCAGCTTCAGACTGGAACAAAGTCATGCCTCTAAATTAGAAGCCAGATGCCTTAACTATTTGCTGCCATGCTCCACTTATTCATATTACCCTATTTTTAATATTCACCAAATACTCTGCATTTTTAAAAGTGAAATTAAACTTCTTAGGCAGGTCACAATCAGGAATATAACATTAAAAAGTTAATTGTCATGCTCCTCTTCCCCTTCACTTTTCAGTAACAGACTCAAAAAGGAGATGAGGAGATTAGGTACTTCTTTATAATAATATATTGTACTTGAACATTTTCTTTTTGCAACAGGTACTTCATGAATGTGATTTTGTGTCCAATTATGACTCCTTTGTTGTAAAGCAGTTAAAATTATGTGAACAATAATGTGTTACAAATTCTAACTCAAATAGCACTTTTTTAAAAAAGGTAATCTTTACAGTGAAAAATAATTTCAAAATATGAGATTGAAGTGTACCAATGTATTTTACCAATAACAAAACCAAATATATTGCACACTACTTACTAATGTGAATTAACATGGAACAATAGATACTGTTAAGAGGACTCATACTATGAAATCCCCCCAACATATTGACAATCTGTCAAGGGGTTTTGTGTAGCCCCATGTCTGTACTCATGACCATCAAATTCCTGTCATCTGCTACCTCTTGCCAGTATTTCCACTTCTGTATGCTTGTGACCAGTGGAATTAATTTTCACTTGGCTTGCATGTATTCACATATGCTTGTTATCTGTTGCTCTCATCACCATGTAAACAACTCCTGTTAAAACTTACACCAGTAGATAAAAACATCCCAATTTTTGGGAGTTGCACATAGAGATTAAGGGCAGTATGTAGTCCTTGTCTGTTAAGTGAATTGACTTCCTATATCCTTTTGACAGAACACCTTGGTGCTAACATGCCCTGGTTAGATCAGAAGTATGATGAAAGTGTAAGGGATTGTTACAACATTCCCAAAGTAAGAGGCCTCTTTGTATCAAGGTCCTGTTTCTCCAGGGCATGATTTGGTTTATCAGCTAATGTGTCATTTCAGCTATTGAGAAATAGGTTTTCTCTGTATTGAAAAGAAACCTTTTTTTTTTACCTCACTTAGGACATGAAAATTGTAAGGAATGTTTCCAAAGACACATTTTGCTCTCTTACTGGTGCTAGAACACCGGGGATTCTGATGTTTACTCTGCAATATAACAGCACTGAGGTTGGAATTTAAAGAACTGCCTGGAGCAATGTTGAATTGTATTGTTAAAGGGAACAAAACACAGAATGTATATGGATTTACAAACTAAGCAACACTACAGACTAAGACTGAAATATGAAACCTAATTCAAATAAAAATGATTGGTTTCAACAGCACACTTCATTGCTGCTGCTACACTGTAGCCATCTATATAATCTAAGCTAAATAGTGTTATATTCTTACATAGTGACAAAAGGAGTCTTTGTGCAGGCTATAAATATGACAGACCTAGAATCAAATAGTACAATACAAGATGCAGAAACCTGGTGCCAGTACTTCTGCTGAGCAATACTATCAGCTGATAAAGATCAAAACAGAAATAAAAATCTAAGATTAATCCTTCAAGGTGTATACATCCAAAATAGTCCATTTCGTTAGGAACTTTATAAAGGAGTGAATGTCACATAGATATCCTTAATAATACAGACTGAAATTACCTTTGTATTATTGTGATTAGTTGCTTATTATTTTATACTCAGTATTAATGTGGTACACTGTTACTTTATTATTATTATTTTTGCTTTTGTAAATTATATTCTAATTTATTGTCATGTTTCTTAACACTTGTTCTACATGCATTCTCCTGCTTGTAATAAAAACAAAAATATTGTAACACCTGATGCAGTGAAATTCCACACCAGGCACAGATTTGTTTTTAACATAGATAATTTAGTAAAATAAAAGTGCAGCTTTTAAGATTGATACCCATGGTACAGTTGTCTCTTCCCTGACTTACAGTTACTAGAATGCTGTATGCTAAATGTTTGCTTCATCCAATGCATCAAAATATATATTAGGTGTCTTCTTTGAAGTAACATCTATGTTATGCTAGAATCCTGTCCTGGGCAGCAGCAATATTTGTCATATATAAGCAAATAAGGAAATAACAAAAAAGGCAAAATCAAGAATATGGTAATGTACATTATTAAGTAATATTTTAGCCTAAGCAGTAATGTAGATCAAGAATGAAATTAATGGCAGCAAAAATATTCTGTACTTCTTGGAGTTATTTCGTTTACAGCCAGTGAATAATAACAATAAAATGTCCTTCTTGCATTGAGCTTCTAAGGTTTTATCTGAAGTTTATCTGAAGCCATGGTCTTTTTAAATATAAAGAAGAAAGTAATTTCAGTAGACTTGATGCTTGGTTAACTGTTGCTGAGAGGTGCTTCCTTTCTTATCTAGCACAGTATAAATAACTTGCTATGGAAATATCTGATCAAGTCCTATGAAATATTTCTTATTTCTGAATTAAAAACTAGTTTCTGGTTTAATGAACATAAACATTCTACTGTTGTGAATAAGATGTTAAAGAAAGTTTAAAGATGTTAAAGTACAGAGAACCTTAAATGTATTGATGAGGTATCTGTTAATTTTTATTATTCTTTGTTATTCTATTTACAAATAAGGATGTAAAAAACCAATTGCTTTTTAAAAAAATATGGGTGTTTCTATCTTGAGATGGAGTAGTCTTAGTAAATAGCACAGTTTAGTGACAGTTTTCTCTGTCATTGTAAAGCTGTTGACTTTCCTCCCATACATTCACACTGTAAGTTATAATCTGATAGATTTCCCATTTTTGTTCAGTTTGTAGTGTTGTTTTTTCCCCACTGGAGTGGTTCTGTTCTGTATTATAATGACAGACTGAGAACACTGAAACTGATGCATTTCTCCCTCCTTTTCTCCTGTTACCTTAACCCTTATGTAACCCATGATGACTGTAGAACTCCTGACACGAAAAATTGCCTCATCTTTTTAAAATGCATTTTTTTCACCAGAATTTCATGCTGGGGCCAATCCTTTTATAATTCTCTGTTACCCTTTTTCAGTTTATTTCTCGAGGAAATGAACACCATTTTTACCCGAGATACTGGGTTTTCCTTTCTCTGACTTCCCTTTCTGTATCCCAAAACTGCTCCTTCTTGAGTATACTGACTGTTCTATCTGAAGCTCTCTGATGTACAAGAAGCATTTTTACATAGCCTCTGCAGAATTCTAAACAGGCTTTGGTTATTCTCCTGACTTCTTTATTAGTTTTTTATTGTTACTTGAACTAAGACCCAGGACTCTTCTGGATCCTCTTCTGCAGAGGTTTACTGCAATGGACTTTGGGTGAGTCCCGTGAGCCTCATCTGGAGGCAGGCAGTCATCAATCCAAGGGTCTTGTAGAAGGCCATTACTAAGCTGACGCTGTCATTCTGCAAGAAGTGACACCCTATCTGGCTGTTCTCCCTTCACCACAAACAACAACCAGGTGGAAGGGATGGATGACTGCTTCTGTGTGCGCCCTCCAGTCTTCATTCTAGACAGGATGGTGTAAGAGCATGTCCATGCAGTAATCAGGATGAAATCCCAAACAGATTTATAAGGGCTCAGTCAGCCACAGAACAAGGTTCATTACAAAACTAGTGAATTGGTCATTTCCCAAGTGTATTTGGCCCAGCTAAAATGGAAATTCATGTCCAGTTTAGGAATATGAGCCCCACAAAATGTGGGGTGGTGTACATTTAAGGATATTGCACCCCTTAGTGGGGCAGTGTACATTTAAGGCTACTGCATCCCTTAAACTGGCATACCACGTAAGCACCACAGGTCATTTATTTTCTTCTGTTTCTGCACAGGACTGACATTTTCATTGAGGTGGTCAGCCTACAGGACACAGTTTACATTCAGAGGTCATACAGCTGCCAATCAGAAAATTATAAGTCTGTCCTGGAAAGGGTATATGTATTTCTGTATTAAGGATTGGAAGATTAAATTTCTACAAACAGGAAGGCCTTTTCAGAGAAGATCTATCAAGATCAGTAAATAATTTAGTACTTTAGTACTAAACTTTAGTAATCCTGTCTGAAATAAATTTATCAGATCACGGCTTGAGAT